TATCTTGAGAAGTTAAGGGAAGAAATTGGAGATTTTAAAAAATTGAGGAGGGTTGCTGAAGGATGTCACAGGAGGCAATATAAAAATTGGGGATAGGGTCAGGAAGGTCATGAAGGAATATAGTAAGAATTAGTAATTTAAAGTTAACATGTAAGGGGGCACAAAGGTAAGCTAGTCAATGTCTAGTGAATGGAACTTCATCCGCGACAGATACTAGTTGCTGCATTTTGAACAAGTGGCATTTTTTGAAAAATGGGCATTTTTTAAAAAATGATCAAGGACAGAGATCTGAGTGGCAGAGGGGCAGCAATACTGTACAGGCAAAAATAAGTGGTGTTGCTGATAGGTGATTGGCATTGAATTTTAGCTGGGTATCAAATAGTCACATGGGTTGGTAACCATAGTTTAATAGGGATATCAGCACAGAATTGTTACCTGCAAACATGTCTGACTAACCTGAATGAGTTATGTTACGGATCAGCAGTGAGGATTGATGATGGTAATGACACAGATGTTGTACAAATGGGATTAAGAATTTGTCTCAGATAGTGGCACAAAATGGGTTGTATGACAGGCAAACATTTCATACAGCCCTCAATATTTAATTCCATTGATTCTAGTGCATTTGAATATTTGATGTTATGAATAACAAGCAGTTTATTCAATCCAATCTTGTCCTTTTACACCACTTCCCACAATAGACTTCCCTGCTGATTTCCAAAATAATTTTGGTGCAAAATTGGTTTGAAATGCAAGTAGTAGAGAATGGATGTTTTTCTGATGGAAGACAGGGTGGATTTAAGTCCCAAAGAACTTGGTATTGCTATCATTGTTTTTCTTGTTATATGAAAATCTACAGCATTTATAATATGGACTTCTTCCATACTGTATGATTCCAAAGGAGTAGAGATTATAGCTGCCACTTTCATCATTATCTGTTTTTCACAGCGTGGTGTTTAGTGACAGCAAACAGTGGGTATTCCCACAGTCACAGGCAACAATCTAAAAAAATTGCTTCTGAATGAAGGAGGAGAGACATTTGGGTGAGTGATCAGCAGGATCAAAGTGCTAACAAAGATTAGCCATCCAATGGTTTTATACAAAAATATTAGGGTTCAGGGTCCAACGTATTGGATAGCTTATGACTTAAGTATTCAACTAACACATCAAACAACACTACAAGAGCAAATCAGAGCCCAGGAATTCAGTGGTGAATATCTCACCTCCTGACTCCATAGAGTCTGCCCTCCACCTAAATGGAATAAGTTAGGATGTACAATGGAATACTCTCCACTTGCTTCACTGGGTATAGCTCCATCAACACTCAACTCAACTCAACATCATCCCATACAAAGCAGCCAGCATGATTGGTATCCCAAGCAGCACCTCAAGTATTGACACACTGTGCCACTGACATACAGTGGGCAGTAACAGGTGCCATCTACAAGAAGCACTGCGGCAGGTCACCGAGACAATTTTCTCAGCGTCTTCTAAATCTGTTGTCTCTACCACATAGAAGGACAAGGGTGGCAGATATAGGGGAACACCACCACCTGCGTGTTTGCCTCCAAGCCACAAGATCCTGGAATTCCCATGCAAACAGCACTGTGGAATTACCTACACCACCTGGATGACAGTAGTTCAAGCCAGCAGCAGCTCATCATCCCCTCTCAAGGGCAATTACAGGTTTGGTGGCCAGTGATGCTCACATCCCATATGGGGTAGAAACTCATGTCAGGCACTGGCACAAAGCAGGCATTGAGACCATCATAAACAAAATTGGTTCACAAGCAATATAACTAGCAGCCCATCTGATACAGCCTGTTTTACACTACTCCCTTGTGTGTCGAGGCTGTCACATTAAAAAGGTTATTTTGTCCTGGGTTTTTTTTAAAAAGAGGTTGTAAAGGCAGAGGTGCCGAAGTGGCTAGGGACCCAGCCTGAATCAATAGTGTTTTTTAAAAAACACTTTAACAATGGAAGAGGTAGTAAGAACTGCAGATGCTGGAGTCAGAGATAACGTAGCGTGGAGCTCGAGGAACACAGCAGGCCAGGCAGCATCAGAAGAGCAGGAAAGTTGACGTTTCGGGTTGGGACCCTTCTTCAGAAATGGGGAGGAGGAAGGGAACTCAGAAATAAAGAGAGAGAGGAGGGGTGGGGCTGGGGAAGGTAGGTGGGATGGTGATAGGTGAGTGCAGGTAGGGAGTGGTGAGGATTGGTCAGTGATGTGGGAGGGGTGGATAGGTGGGAGAGAAGACGCCCTCCACCAAAGAAGACTGCCATGCCAGGTTGAGACCACCACTTCTGGACAAGACCACCTGCAGAGCCACTGGAATGTCTGGACACTGAAGACTAAGAAGACCTCCACACTGGGACAAGACCGCCATACCAACAGACCGCCATACTGGCAGACCGCAATGCCAGGCTGAGACTGTCTTTTTCCTCCTTTAGGCACCCAGGCCTAAAGTTGTTAAAATATTCTATTTGTGTGCTAGTAACAAGGGCAGCCAATTGATCTGGAAGGTGGCACACAATTAAGTAAGGTTTGAGAATGATCACTAGTGATGAGACAAGTGAAACAGGGATTGTAGGACTGGAGAGGTGGTTATGGGTATAAGCGAAGTCAGACTGTGGTGAAATTTGAACTCTAGGACAAGCACTAAACACAGGTATAGTGGCAACTTCCCTGATGTGAAACAGTTAATAATATTGTGGTACCATTTTATTTTGAGCTACATTATAAATCATGAAAGTCATTACAAAAACTGAAGAATTTTATCAGTTGAATTTGTGTGGCTTTCAGTTTGGTTCTTTAAATATTTAAATATTTAATGACTGACCCAATATCATAAACTATTACAGTCCGAGTCCATTCATCCATCACATTATCAGAAGTCTTTCCTAAAAACTTACACAAATAAATACCTTATTTAAAAGCATTCAAATCCTAGTGTTCAAATATATATTGGAAGTCCTAATACTTTAGACATATGGATCAAGTTTCTCACCTATTCTGTACAATGTAATATTATTTATTATGCTTAACATTAATTTTCTGGGAAAAACTACATGTACAGACTTGTATTTTTTTCTGAAAGATCTCCAAATTACTTTAACACCAGAGGCATAACTTAGAAAAGAAAGTTAAAGATATTAAGAAAAAAATGCACAAGTGTTTCCAAATCTAACCTTAGTTCAAAATAAATTTTGTACAGTCCTATGATTGAACACAAAGGTGGGGGGAGGGTTGAAACAAAAATCGAGACAGAATAAATAACCATTGCCTTTATCTGACGAAACTAATTTTCATACTAGAATATTGTTTTACCTATTAACTATTGTTTGAAAAATGCACAGTTTTTCCATAACTAACAATGACCCACTAAAGAAATTAGATATAAAAACATTCCTTTGGAATGTAGTATTTTCCCTACATGTCAGTACAGAAACAAGTATATTCATGTATTATTTTACAGGCTTTTGCAAATGAAGATTTCATTACATTTTGCACTCTAAAATGTGCATTTTTGAAGACCCACATGCACATGGGTGTTTAGCAAAATTTTATCATCTAAAATTCTCTATGGAGCTTCAAGTGGATTTTCTCCTTGGCTTTTGATTCTCAAAATTGTAACATCTATCAAATACCTTATACTATTTAAACTGGATAAAAATGAAAGAATCTTTTATTCCTCTTGTGCTAATTCATCAAGCCCTTAAATGCATTTATACTGGCACTGTTGTATGAAATACAAAGCTTTACGGTGTCACCTCCAGTCAAAAGTGGTATTATAATTCAGGACAGTGAATAACATTAGAAACAAAACAAAACCCAACTTTGAACTGACTTTTGGATAAAGTCAAACTCCAATGTTTATTTGCTTGATATGCTACTGTACAGAACTGAACTGCATTTGTGACTATGTATGTATACAAAGAGTTTTTTCTTATGAATAAAATATATTTTTGAAATAAAACAACGTACGACTCCAGGCTGAAGTTAAATGGGGGTCCGTTCAATTATCAGACCCTCCTGGTGCATCAAATGCATGTGAATATACTCTGGTTCAAGTAAGAGATGCCTTTGGTTTGATTGGGTAGGGTCAAACTCGATTGTGTTTGTTCCTTTGATATGCTACCGTACAGAACCGAAATGCATTTGTGGCTACGTCTCTCTCTATATTTAATATGTACAAAGATATGACCATGAATAAAGTATATTTTGAAATAATAAAAAGGTACGGCTCTGGATAGGTCGGAGAAACGTCAAAATTTCAATGTTTTGTTTGTTTCTTTTCCATTGAAAGGACTGCAATTTGTGTGTATTTGTAGGTTTTTTGAGTAAAATATATTTTTGAAATAAAAGTGAGTCTAGACAGGAATACAAAAGGGATATTGCATTACCTTTTCTCAAAAATAGTAGGTCGAATTCTGGAGATTTTCTTACCATAGGATCGGTAATGGCGAGAAAGCTAAATTTCAAGACTTAATTTAAAAGAAATCTAGTAGATAGAACTTTACGTTTAAGGAATGATAGTGAAATGCAGAGATGAACTCAGAAACACGTTGCAGCATAACTGGAGTCGCTGCCCTTCTAGATTCCGGTAAACCCAAATGTTTTTTTTAAAAAATGTTACACACATGAGCAAATTATACATGTTGTCTTTGCTTGGACAGGACGGCATTTCAATTGCCTGCCGTTAAAATCGGATGAGACACGCGGGAAATTAATGGGGTGGAATGATCATTAAATACAGCACCTGAAAAGTTTATTTTAAAAATGTAGGTTTTCGATGACATGCCCCCGGCGGGCGGGGAAATAAAACCTCTTCAAATTCCTTTCGGAACGGCGAGGGAGGGACAGACAACGCTTCACCATGGGAACCGAGTCGACTCACTTCAAGTGAGCCAGTAAATAGCTTAACAGTGATGTAAATATTCGTGTTTTAAGACGCCTATGAGAGCCCGGAGTGAATGGAAAATATGTTTTTAAATCTTACCGCTTTTTTTCCTGCCCCCTTGCTCTCACTTCACTTTATCTTTTCCCAAACCCCTCTATCGTGCCTCACTGAATACGAACCAGTGATCTTCATGGCTCCATTGTCTCTAGTTTGTTACTCAGCCAGGTCGGTATCACAGTGATACTCCGCCGCTTTGTTACAATGTAGCGGGCGAGTGTTACCCTTCACCATTCAATCAGACCGAGGTTCTCACCTTTGAACTCCAGCAAGTATAAACTAACCTCGCCTCCAACACAGGAAACTGGGCAGGCTTTGCAAACCAGTCGTCCTTAAACTGTCCTTTCCTGATTGCAGCCCCTGCTGGCAGGGAGGAATATCACAAGAAAGTATTACAGTGCCAACGGAGGCCATTTGGCCCATTGTCTCTCCGAATTCATCTGGTTCCCCCTTCTGCCCCGATCACCGAACATTCTTCCTTTATGGGTGGCTATCTAGTTCCGTTTTGAATAGAACTTTTGAAACTGCGACCACCATACTGTCAGGCAGGGTTTTTTTTCACGTCATCTTTGCTTCTTTTGCAAATCGCTTTAAATCTGTGCTCTCCCGTTGTTGATACTTTCATCGCTTGGAGCACTTACTTCCCATTCATTTTGTCCAAGCCCCTCATGAATATCAACACCTCTTGTTTAAAAGGAATACCTGCCGAGTTTCCTGGAATTCTGTGTTTGTACCTTTGACAAATCTCTCAAATTTTTTCTCCACGGAAGCAGTCCCAGCTTCTTCAATTTATTGTTATAACAGAAGTTCCTCATTCTGGACACCAATCCCTTGAATCTTTTCTGTACTTAAAATTAGTTACCAGAAATTGATGCAAATTCCAGCTCAGGCTGAACTCCATTATAAGCGTTCTACTCTTTCCTGCATTCTGTTCTATTACCCTGATGTACTTAATGTAAGGTGTGTTTCTGCCTGCTTAGCACACAAAACAATACTTTTCACTGTATTTTGGTACGTGATGATAATAAATCAGATCAATTCAAATCTAATGTCTTACAAAAGTCATAGCTCCTACACTCTATATTCCAATAGGATATTGTACACTTTACAAACCATGCTCTCAATCTGTTAATGACTATGCAAATATTCTCATAAAATGTTAAAATACACAATTTTTTTTATTCATTCACATGATGAGGGCATTGCTGGCTAGGCTAGCATTTATTGCTCATCCCTAATTGCCCAGAGGGTAGTTAACAATCAACCACATTGCTGTGGGTCTGGACTCACATGTAGGCAGAACCAGATAAGAATGGCAGTTTCCTTTCCTAAAAGACATGAGTTAACCAGATGGGTTTTCCCCGTATGTAGCTCAGAATAACACCAACAGTGCAGATTTGATTTATCTACTTGTCTGGTGGAGGTAGACCAATGACATCCCAGTTCACCTCACCCTTTAGAGTGGATGACAGTGCTAAAGCATCACTGATTTTAAAAGGTAATGATGAAGGATCTACAGTTATTAAGCAAGAACCAGCCTTTGGGTTACGTACACATAATTTTTTTTATGAATTAAGAGCTGAAATAAGACATTGTTCCCTGAGACTACTACACTGTTCAATAAGATCACTGATTACTCCATATTCCCACTTTGCCTGGACAAATTTTTATCCCCTTGCTCATCAAGAATCTATCTTAGACCTAAGAATATTCAAAGACTCTGCTTCTACTTCTTTCGAGGAAGAACATTCCAAACATTCCCACACTCTGAAATTTAAAAAAGTCTCTTTTCATTCCCTGTCTTAAATGGGTGTCCTTTTGGTTTAGAACAGTTAACCTAGTTCCAGTATAATAAATTATAACAAAGAACTGTGGGTGCTGGAAATCTGAAACAAAAGTAGAAATTGCAGGAGAAACTCAGCAGGTCTGGCAGCATCTGTGGGAGAAAGCAGGTTAACATTTTGAGTCTAGTGACTCTTCATCAGATGAAGGAAAATAATATTGCTCTAGATTCTTCCACAAGAAGAAACATCCTTTCTTTATCCATCCTGTCAAGACACCTCAGGGTTTTGTGTATATCAATCAAGTCACCTCTATCTTTCTAAGCTGCAGTCTTTGCAAGACTCATCTGTCCCACCTTTCCTCATAAAACAACAAACTCATTCCAGACATTAGTCTAGTAAAACATCTACAAGCTACTTCCAATACACTTACAGCCTGCCTTAAATAAGATGACCTGTACTGTATTTGGTACTCGATGTGATCTCACCAGTGCCTGTATAGCTGAAGCATAACTTTCCTACTTCTGTATTAAATTCCCATCACAATAAATAAGAATATTGTATTAGTTTTCCTCATTATTTGTTGTACCTATATACTAGTCTTTTTACAAGTCATGCACTATGGCAGTCAGATCTCTCTGTATCTTCAAGATCTGCAACCTCTCACCATTTTGATAATATATTTCTTTTCTATTCTTCCTGCTGAAATGGGCAATTTCAGATTTTCCCAGATTATACTCCATTTGCGAAATCCTTGCCCACTTACTTAAGTGGTCTATATTCATTTGAAACTTCTTTATGTCCTCTTCACAACTTACTGTCTTAACTACCTTTGTGTGATCAACAAATTTAGTAACTGTACCTTTGGTTCCTTCAACACAGTCGTGCATGATGCATTAGGCTATCTATCACTTGTAAAGTGGGTTTCATTTTTGTTTTTATGAGTAAACTTTCTCGGTTTTAGAGTCATACAGTACAGAAACAGTCCAACTTGTCCATGCTGACTAGGTATCCTAAACTGAACTAGTCCTATTTGCCTGTGTTTGGCCCATATCCCTCTTAACCTTTCCGAGTCATGTACCTGTCCAAATGTCTTTTAAATGTTGTAACTGAACATGTCTCTACCACTTCTTCTGGCAGGTCATTGTATACACACACCATCCTCTGTGTGAAAAAATTGCCCTTCCTGTCCCTTTTAACTCTTTCCCCTATCACCTTAAACTCTAGTTTTGGACTCCCCTACCATTGGACAAAGACCTTGTCAACTGATGTTATCTATGCACCTTATGATTTCATAAACCTCTTTAAGGTCACCCCTACAGCCTCCAATGCTCCAGTGGAAAAATATCTCAGCCTATCCAGCTTCTCCTTCTACCTCAAACCCTCCAGACCCGGCAACACCCTGGTAAGTATTTCCTTCCCCTTTTCTGTCCTTTCCCAGAGGGTTACGGCTCAAGGCTGTGATATACCTTTGCTAATGCCAGTAACCTTCTGCATTTCAAACAAGTGACTATTTGTCATGCAGGACTGTCTTCATCTGACAGGCAGTCAGCACTTTCTGATTAGTGACTGGAACTCCAGCTAATTTCCTTTTCTTCCCCACCATCTATTAACCCAGTGGTGTTCAACCCAAATTGGATCTTGGAACCTCCTGGACTGTAGTTTAGGACCCCAATGCATGCTACATATACCTATGGAATCATGTCATTTGAGGTATAGCTGTCTTTTTGTATAGCGTTTTTTTATTAATTTCCTGCATGCTCTCCCTCAAAAACATGCTTCCATCACTGGCTCCAAGCTAACAATAGCTACACAAAGACTTTTTGGAAGAGCAACTAATTGGATACATTTAGATAACTTGGAATGCGAACGTTGTTGAGTGTGAGCATTTATCAACCACAAACAAAATATTGAACTGCTTTCAAAATAAAAACGTTAAAATTTAAGATAAAAGATCTCCTATTAAGTAAATACTTCAACCAAACAATAAGTCATTCAAAGCACTGAAGATGTGAGCAATTATTATAAAGGACAAAACTGCCAATGTGGGAGTACTATGCAGTCAGTCAGATTTAATTTTTGTTTTGATGCACACAGATATTGACAATATGCTGTTTCTTTTTCAATTTTCTGCAATCTTTCCCAAAGGTGTTGGATACATTTATGGTGGCATGGTGGTTCAGTGGTTAGCACTATTGCCTCACAACACCAGGAACCTGGGTTTGATTCCATCCTTGGGCAACTGTTTGTGTGGAGTTTGCACATTCTCACTGTGTGTGTGTGGGTTTCCTTCAGATGGTCCGGTTTCCTCCCACAGTCCAAAGATGTGTAGGTTAGATGGATTGGCCATGCTAAATTGCCCATAGTGTCCAGGGATGTGCAGGCTAGGTGGATTAGCCATGGGAAATGCAGGGTTACAGGGATAGGATAGTAGGGGATGGTCTGGGCAGCTTGCTCTTTGGAGAGTTGGTATGGTCTCAATGGGCTGAATGGCCTGCTTCCACACTGTAGGGATTCTATGATTCTAAGTCTATTTCACAAAATATGCTAAAACTAAAGATTAATCAGCTATCTGCATTTAGTGTAAAAGATCCCATGATGCTTTTTCTTAAAAAAACAACACAGGAGTTCTTCCTCCTATCCTGGCCAATCTTTAGCCCTCATTTCATTTTGCTGTTTCATTTTGATGTGTGCAAGTTGCTTACTTTATTTTCTTATTCCTATCTGAACTTGCATTTTAAAAACACTTTTAGCACCCATAAAGTAATTAAATACTGTTGAATTGTAACTGCTTAGCAACGTGGGAAAAATAGTTTTAAAATTAAAATGTAAGGCAACTGGCATTTATAATATAAACACACTTAACTTTCCTGGAAGATGAGGATATTGGTGTTAAAAGTTCCATAGAGAAATCTGAACACCTAGTGAGTTACTGGAAGAACTACACCAAAAGATTTAATGTTTTTAAACAATACAGACTTTACTGTATATATAAAAACAAAGCAAGCATCTTAACACTATAGTTTGTCAAGACTTTTAATCATCAGTTCTTATCCAGTGCCCCTTTTTACTGCTTAATTTCACAATCTTGAGGGTTCATTCACCTCTTTATCTGGAACCAAACCAAGAATGCCAAAGCTCTCTGGAATTCTCTTTGTCTTCTGCTTAGTGTGCCAGCTAATCTCTAACTTATGAGACGCAATGAGGACCCTTAAGTTTGCTTGTGGTTTGGTGATTGTCCAACATTTCTACAAAATACCATAACTGGTAACTTCTGAGTTCAACCTTGAACCTCATAGCTTTTGTATTTATCAATTTAAAAATCAGAACATCCTGGTTCCATTTGACTTTCTGCTCCTGTTGTTTTTTTTGGACAGACAGAAGCTGGTTTAATTAAAACAGAAAGTGTTGGCAAAACTTAGCAGTTCTGATAAACTCTTTCTCTCTGCATAGATGCTACGTCTGAAGTTCAATATGACTTTTTCAGGTTAACCTGTTCAGTTTCTCCAGCACTTTGATTTCATTTCAAATTTCCAGCATCCCCAGTATTTGCTCTAATACAAGTTACTTTCACCCTGTCTTCTCTCAGTTTCTGTACAATTCTTGGTCCAACAGCTGCTTTACAGTTCTTGACAAGCTGCCTTTCTCTGCCTGATCCCAAGCTAAACTGCTTTTGCCCAGTTTCCTGTAAATTTTATCTACTAACTCCAAGGTAGGCAGATCTTCCAATCTCTTTTCCCCTCACAACTCTTTCTTCAACTGAGCATGAGCTCCCACTGTATCCTCACAATAAAGTTAGTATTGTCATAGAGTCATAGAGATGCACAGCACAGAAATAGATCCTTCGGTCCAAATCTTCCATGCCGACCAAATATCCTAAATTAATTTTGGCTCATTTTCTAGCATTTGCCCCATATCCCTCTAAACCCTTCCTATTCATATACCCATTCAGATGTCTTTTAGATGTTGTAATTGTACCAGCCTTCACCACTTCCTCTGGCAGTTCATTTCACACACGCACCACCCTCTGTGTGAAAAAGTTGCCCTTTCGGTCCCTTTTAAATCTTTCCCCTCTCACGTTAAACCCCTGCCCTCTAGTTTTGGACCCTCTACCCTGGGGAAAAGACCTTAACGATTCACCCTATCCCATGCCCATCATGATTTTATAAATCTCTATAAGGTCACCCCTCAGCCTACAATGCTCCAGCACCAGCCTATTCAACCTCTCCCTATAGCTCAAACCCTCCAGCCTTGGCAACATCCTTATAAATCTTTTGTGAACCCTTTCAAGTTTAACAACATCCTTCCTAAAGCAAGGAAATCTGAATTGAACATAGTATTCCAAAAGTGGCTTAACCAATGTCCTGTACAGCCACAACATATCCTCCCAACTCCTATACTCAATGCACTGACCAATAAAGACAAGTGTATGAAATGCCTTCTTCACTACCCTGCCTACATGGGAATCCAATTTCAAGGAAGCATAAACCTGCACTCCAAGGTCCCTTTGTTTGACAACACTCCCCAGGACCTTACCATTAAACGTATAAGTCATGCCCTGATTTGCCCTAACAAAAAGTAACACCTCACATTTATCAAGATTAAATTCCATCTGCCAATCCTCAGCCCATCAGCCCATTTGATCAAGGTCCCATTGTACTCTGAAGTAACCTTCTTTGCTGTCCACTTCACCACCAATTTTGGTGTCATCTGCAAATTTTCTAACCATACCCCCTATATTCACATCCAAATGTCTTTGCTTAAGGTGCAGGCCTAGCTTACATCTATTTATTTTGCTCCTTCAACTGAATGACTTGAAACCTTCATAAAACCAAAGCTGCAACTTCCTCTACCTATTCGCAAATTGAGCACTCTTGCAAATCAAAATATCAATCTTAAGACATTATAACATAAAAATTGTCATGACATTAGGAAAGGGGCAACCAATCTCTTAATTGAAATGGACGGGTGGAGATGATCGGGAAGAGATTTTGTTACAAAGTTGGTGTGTGTAAAATTGTAAAAGCATTGCGTTGTCCCTTTAAAAGATTATGTTTTTTTCAGTACTTAAGAGTTAAAATGGATGTCTGAACTAGGAAATTATAGAGAAAACATCTATGACAGCAAGATCAGTGGAAGAAAGACGTTTGTGACTTGAAATCAACAGAGGAAAGGCTGGAGAAGGCAGAGAGTTCCGGAAGACATACAAATCCACGCTTCACTGCATTCTCAATAGCATGTCATTTCATCTTATCACTTTAGCCAAGATATTAGGTACAGTTTTGTGGGTTCTCATAGCTGTATGAAGACAAATTTCAGATCACTATTAACAATGCATAACATGGCACAGTGGCTCAGTGGTTAGCACTGCTGCCTCACAGCGCCAGGAACCTGGGTTCAATTCCACCCTCAGGCAACTGTCTGTGTGGAGTTTGCATGTTCTCCCTGTGTCTGTGTGGGTTTCCTCTGGGTACTCTGGTTTCCTCCCACAGACCAAAGATGTGCAGGCCAGGTGGATTAGCCATGCTAAATTGACTGTATTGTTCAGGGATGTATAGCTTAGGTGGGTTATAGGGGGATGGGTCTGAGTGGGATGCTCCAAGTGTCAGCATGGACTTGTTGGGCTGAAGGGCTTGTTTCCACACTGTAGGGATTCTATGAAGACACAGTCTGTGTGAACTTGGAGAGATTAAGTTTTAATTTACTGTTCTATTAATTGGGTTTATATAAGTGGGACTTGTGTTTATTTGAAGTGTTTCAGTAGAATTTTGTTCAATTAGTGAATTGTTAGGAGTTGGGGGTGGGGCAATTGTTCAGTTTGTTATTGTTAGGGTTAAATAAATAAATTGTTATTTGTTATTTATAAAGTGACTATCAGGAATTTTCTTTCATTTAACCTCCCCGTCTCTGTAACAGTTTAACAGATTAGGCGAGGTGAGGCGAGTTTCTCTGGGTGTTTTGGGTTTAATTATTAGAAAGGGACCTCTAATCTTGCTGTAACAAATTGGAGGCTTGTGTTTGAATTTTAATTATCAGAAAGGTTCAACCTCCCCTTCCTAACAATTTTCAGTGAATAGAACCCTCGCTGCTGTTGGTGAGAAGTTGAGGGGGAGAGATTCACAGAGATTAGAGTCAGAGGATCAAAGTCTGAGCATGGTTTTATGAGGTACAGCATTTCCAATTGATTGGAAGAGTGAGGCCATGGAAGATTTCAATACAAGGGTTATAATTTTTAAATTTCAAACCTTGAAGACAGGAAGCCAATGAGATCAAAGAACGGTAAGGGTTTGGAACAAGCAAGACTTTGCACGTTTGGAAAACTGTAAACAGTTTGAATTTTACATAGCTTGGAGGATATGAGATCATTCTGGAATGTCAAATCTGAAGGTGACAATGCAAGGCATTTGAAAGGGTTTCAGCAGCAGATGGTCTTAGCAGCGGGGGCGGGGGTGGTGGTAAACTTTCTACGTGCAATGGAAAGGATCTAAGGTCTGATATTTAGCCAGGGTCAATCATGACACCGAGGCTGTGAACATTCTAGTTCAACCTGAATCATAGATAATAAGGTGTGGAACTGGGTGAACACAGCAGGCCAGGCAGCATCAGAGGAGCAGGAAAGCTGACGTTTCGGGTCTGGACCCTTCTTCAGAAACCGGTAGCACTGCCAACATCGAGGACACACCCACCAACGCCACTGCAGCCACTGCCAACATCGAGGACGGTCTACCCGACGCCGCTCCGCCCACTGCTGACGCCGCTCTGCCCACCACCCCAACAGCTAGCAACTCTATAGTCAAAACCAGCCCCAGCCCTGCTGGGTTTTCACCATCCCCCCAGACCTCCCCCTCACTGAGATGAATGGTCAGTCCTCAGTAAAGGACTCCCCTTTATCCCCCTCCATTCAAGCATCAATGAATACTGCTCACGCCTGGAAGTTGAACAGTGTTTCCACCGCCTCCGCGCTTATTTCTTTAATCGAGAGTCTATCCCCCCTTTACAGAACCCTTCTCCCGCCTCCAACACACCTCATCCTCCTGGACACCACCCCAAGGCCTCCTACCCTCCCTCGACCTCTTCATCTCTAACTGCCATTTCCGAAGAAGGGTCCAGACCCGAAACGTCAGCTTTCCTACTCCTCTGATGCTGCCTGGCCTGCTGTGTTCATCCAGCTCTACACCTTGTTATCTCAGATTCTCCAGCATCGGCAGTTCCTACTGTCTCTCAACCTGAATCGTGGCTAGGGTGAAGGTTAGAATCAATTGCACAGAAGCAGAATCTGTGGAAGGGATTCAGATAACTTTGGGTTTCCCAATGCTCAGTTTGAGTAATCCAAGATTAATCCAATGCTATATTTTCCCGCATAAAGTCTGTCAGCACAATGATAGTAAAGAAGGGATCAAAAATGGATAATTAAGGTGGATATCATGGGGACTTAAGACCTCATTTTTTTCAAATATCTGGACCAAATCCCTCAGGAACTGCTTTCAATCAAATTGACGACACGCCCAATGACGACTACACGCTGACGATTACGCGATGACGTACACGAACTGGGTCACGAAGATTGGCGGCGTTCACGCATGCGTGTTGTCGGACGCTCTCGGAGTTTGACGGTGTTCGTGTGGCCAGAGACCGGATCATGGCGAGCTCGGGGAGGAAGCGTATCCTGAAAGAGGAAGATATCTCCAAGGTGGAGTTTGAGACAAGCGAGGAGGTGGATGTCACCCCTACCTTTGACACGATGGGCTTGCGGGAGGACTTACTGCGGGGTATCTACGCGTACGGTGAGTGCGGCCTAGACTGGCAGGAAGCCTCGCGGTGGCTTCTCGATGCAGTGGTCCGCGGCGGCACGATGCTGAGGTCTTTGAAACCAGGGCCCCGGCAGGCTCGGAGTACAGGGCTTCAGACCTTGGCCTTGATGGAGTGGACCCTGTTCACACTCCTGGAGCCAGAGTGTTTCTGTTAGAGGCCCAGGCCGCAAATCCATCTCCTTCTCCTTTCACTAATCACTGTGTTGCGTGCATTAAGTGGACAGCGCCCTCGCTTCGCAGTCAGTGGCTGAAGCCACGCTCCCGGAGTTAGGATCTCAATATCCAGGCTGACATTCCGGAGCAGTGTAGACGGGGTGCAACACTATTGAAGGTGCCGTCTTTTGTAAACAGAGGGGAATATAAAAACCGTATGGGACTATTTAAGAAAGACTTCTTTTACGTTGGGTGACACATAATTACATCAATCAACATCACTTTTAAAAAAAAACTGATTTAATCATTGTCAATTGTTGTGGAACCTAGCTAGGTGTGCACCTTTTCGACAATGTTTAAAAAGTACTCTGTCGTTGTAAAACAGACTTGAAAGCTTTAGGCTTATGAGAGCCGAAACAACAAAGACTTGTGTTCCACAAGTAGCTGGTTTACCTTTACACTGAGGTTGTTGCTTAAATAGGACCCCAGTCAGTTAAGGTGGATTTTATTCAAATGTGTTAATTTAACATTTAAATTCAAATCTGTCACATGTACCCTGAATACCTTAAAATGCCCAAATCAAAAAGGGTTGCTTTTCTCAGATCTTGGTTTACTCCTCTCTAACCTGTCTTAAAATAGGTTTTCCGTAAATTCTTTGACCCATGTTTATTCTTCTGGTTTCATAGAACCGCAATCTGAAGAATTGGTCATATACTGTATGATCAGTTCTCACATTGTCCTTTTAGTGCAATAAAGTATAAATTTTATCATAACAAATATAAATTAAATGAAGTAATTGTCACTAGAATGTGTTAATGTAAACAAAATAAGTAGCAAGGTCTTAGGGGGGAAAAAAAATCGACCCACTGGGGATACAGCTGTCATGATTAGGAATTCCTCAATTTGCACATCATTTCATGGGTTTTCTAAAAAACAATCTTGGGTAGTTATGATCTACTGAACTGCCAGCTACTATTGGTAATGTACTTTATTTCAGTCACTTGGGTTCAAAGTGTCACCCAGTTAACCAGACCCACTTGTAGGTTAATCTTTTCATCTCTTATTCAATTGTGCCACTTCCCCCAACTTAATTGAGACATGGTTGAGCAACTCAACTATGAATCAGTACTTTAGAACAGTCCAGCACAGGACCAGGCTCTTTGGCCCACCATGTTTGTGCTGACCATGATGCCATTCTAAACTAATCCCATTTGCTTGCTGATGGTCCATATCCCCCATTTCCCTGCCTGTTCATGTATCTGTTTAAGTGCATCTTAAACTTTGCTAATATATTTGCTTTGACCACCTCCCCGGCAGTACATTCCAGGCACCTTTATTTTATATCGCATTTTATTTGATGTGTCTGTAATTAACATTTGAAGAATTTGCCTTATGTTTGTGCTCTGCTGTTGGCTGTCACTGTAGAGGTATGGGGGAAAGCTTATTTTTATTGTGAACATTGATAAGAAATTGTTAGGCTCCATGACATTTTGCTGGCTGTAAATAAAGTAGTTACCATAATCCCAATGGACTGTAGGGCTAAGATAACAAGGTGTAGAGCTGGACTGTAGGGCTGCTCTGTCATTAGAGATGACTGTGGTGTTTTAACATGAGGGTAACCACCCAGTCAGACAAGAGGCACAGTTGAGAAGGTGGGGACCTTCATGGTAACTTCAGCTGGGACAAGAATTGAACCTCAGTTGTAAGCATCACCTTTACATCACAAAAGAGCCATCTAGCCAGCAACCATGAAGTAATTAAATACTGTTGAAGTGTAACTACCTTTGCAGTGTAGGAAACAGTTTTAAAATTTAAATGTAGGACAACTGAACATAGCCATACAACACGGAAATGGCCCCTTCAGACCAACTCGTCCATGCTTACCAGTATGAAGGATGTTATTAAATTGGGAAGGGTGCAGAAAAGAATTACAAAGATGTTACCGAGGGTTTAAGTTATAAGAGGAGGCTGAATAGGCTGGGACTTTTTTCTCTGGAACGTTGGAGGTTGAGGGGTGAGAGGCATACATAAGGTGAAGAGGAAAGGTCTTTTCCCGAGGGTAGGGGAATTCAAAACTAGAGGGCATAATTTTAAGGTGAGAGGACAAAGATTTAAAAGGGACTCGAGAGGCAACTTTTTCACACAGAGGGTGCTGCATTTTTTTTTCTATTCACTTGTGGGATGTGGGCATCACTGGCTGGCCAGCATTTCTTGCTCATCCCTAGTTGCCTTTGAGAAGGTAGTGGTGAGCTGCCACCTTTAACTGCTGCAGTCAACCAGCTGTAGGTTGACCCACAATGCGATTAAGGAGGGACTTCCAGGATTTTGACCCAGCGACAGTGAAGGAATCGTGATCTATTTCCAAGTCAGGATGTGAGTGGTTTGGACGGGAACTTGGAGGTGGTGGTGTTCCCATATGTCTGCTGCCCTTGTCCTTCTAGATGGAAGTGGTCGAGGGTTTGGAAGGTGCTGTATGAGGATATTTGGTGAGTTTCTGCAGTGCATCTTGTACATAGTACACACTGTTACTATTGACCGTCGGTGGTGGAGGGAGTGGGTGCTTGTGGATGTAGTGCCAATCAAGCAGGCTGCTTTGTCCTGGATGGTGTCAAGCTTCTTGAGTGTTGTTGGGGCTGCACTCATCCAGGCAACTGAGGGAGTATTCCATCACACTCGTGACTTGTGTGTTTGTAGATGGTGGACAGTCTTTGAGGAGTCAGGAGGTGAGTTACTCGCCACAGTATTCGTACTTCTGGCCTGCTCTTCTAGCCAACATGTTTATGTGGTGAGTCCAGTTGAGTTTCTGGTCAATGATAACCTCCAAGATGTTGATAGCGGGGGATTCAGTGTTGGTAACACCGTTGAATGGCAAGGGATGGTGGTTAGATTGTCTCTTGATGATAGTCATAGGCATTTGTGTGGCACGAATGTCACTTACCACTTGTCAGCCCAAGCCTGGATGTTGTCCAGATCTTGCTGCATTTGAACACAGATTGCTTCAGTATCTGAGGAATCACCAGTGGTGCTGAACATTGTGCAATCATCGGCGAACATCCCCACTTCTGACCTTATGGTGGAAGGAAGGTCATTGATGAAGCAGCTGGAGATGGTTGGGCTGAGGACACTACCCTGAGGAACTCCTACAGAGATGTCCTGGGGCTGAGATGATTGACCTTCAACGACCACGACCATATTCCTATGTGTCAAGTATGACTCCAACCACCAGAGAGTTTGCCCTGTTATCCATTGATTCCAGTTTTGCTCGGGCTTCTTGATGCCACATTCGGTCGAATGCAGCCTTGATGTCAAGGGCTGTCACTTTCACCTCACCTCTGGAATTCAGCTCTTTTGTCCATGTTTGAACCAAGGCTGTAATGAGGTCAGGAGCTGAGTGGCCCTGGCGGAACCCGAACTGGGTGTTGCTGAGCAAGTGCTGCTTGATAGCACTCTTAATGACACCTTCCATCACTTTACTGGTGATTGAGAGTAGACTGATGGGGCGGTAATTGGATGGGTTGGATTTGTCCTACCTTTTGTGTACATGACATACTTTGGCAGTTTTCCACGTTGCTGGGTTGTGACTGTACTGGAACAGCTTCTGACTGTTGTGACTGTACTGGAACAGCTTGGCTAAGGGAGCGGCAAGTTCTGAAGCACAAGTCAGTGCTATTGTCGGTATGTTGTCAAGGCCCATAGCCTTTGCAGTATCCAGTACCTCCAACCGTTTCTTGATAACACATAGAGTGAATCGAATTGGCTGAAGACTAGTATCTATAATGCTGGAGACCACTAGAGGAGGCTGAGCTGGATCATCCACTCGGCACTTCTGGCTGAAGATTGTTGCAAAAGCTTCAGCCTTATCTTTTGCACTGATGTGCTGGGCTCTTCCATCATTGAGGATGGGGATATTTGTGGAGCAGCCTCCTCCAGAGAGTTGTTTAACTGTCCACCACCATTCACGACTGGATGTGGCAGGACTGTAGAGCTTAAATCTGATCTGCTGCTTGTGGGACCACTTAGCTCTGTCTATCACTTGCTACTTTTGCTGTTCGGCGTGCAAGTAGTCCTGTTTGGTGGCTTCACCAGGTTGGCACCTCATCTTCCGGTATGCCTGGTGCTGTTCCTGGCCTTCCCTCCTGCACTGTCCATTGAACCAGGGTTGAGTCACTGGCTTGATGGTAATGGTTGAGTTGGGGATATGTCGGGCCATGAGGTTACAGATTGTGCTGGAGTACAATTCTGGAATGAACTGCCAGAGGAAGTAGTAGAGGTGGGTACAGTTAGAATATTTAAGACATTTGGATAAGCGCATTAATAGGAAAGTTTCAGAGGTATATGAGCCAAACTGAACTGGGATGAAAAGGTTAAGCAGGTGGGCGTATACTCATTGGAGTTTACAAGAATTAGATTTAATCTTAACGAAAGAAGTAAAATTATGAGGCCCTGACACAGAGGAGATTTACCCCCACTGGGGTCTCTACAATGAGGAAGCAGAATTTCAAGGTAACAGGTATCTCATTTAGGGCAGAGATGAGGCAAAACTTTTCCTAATGAATGATAGGAAGGGGCTCCATAGGCTAAGTGGCCAACTGCTGTTGAATCCAGGAGCTCCATGTTTCTGGTTTTCTCTGGCAACAATGATATAAAATCATTCTACTAAGGAGCTAAAGACTCAGCGACACTCCATATGCAGAAGTGAATAAAGGATTAGGACTTTCTGCATATATCATCTGGGGATCCTAGAACATTCCAGTAGCATAAAAATCAAGCGTTTGTCACCTTAATTTCTGAAGGCAATGCAAGCCTGACCGTACTGAGACAAAGTTTTCCTGACATGAGGCCACAGGTCTCCATGACTGCCTTCTTATACACTGGTGTTGTAGCATGTGAACACTTGCATTAATAGTTTCTCCAGGTGGATATGGCTTCCTGCTGAGGGCTGTCACTTAGGGTTTTGTTGCCTGTCATATCTCCTTCCATTAGAATCACCCTTAACTTTGCCAGAAGATGTGTTAAGAACTTCATGGAGAGCAGTAACACTTAAATAGAAATTTAAACACCCAGTGATTAACTGCAAGAATTACACTGCAAGATATTATGTTTTTAAATAAAACAAACTTTGTATATGAAAAGACAAAGCAATCACCGTTACCTGAACACTATAGTGTGTCAAGACTTGTAATCAAGAGTTCATATCTAGTCCCCATTTTTACTGCCCAATTCCACAAACATGAGGGTTCATTCACCTCTTCAGCTGGAACCAACCCAAGAATGCCAAAGCTCTCTAGAATTCTCTTTGACTTCTCCTTAGTTTGCCAGCTGTTTTCCAATCCAAGATGAACATGGAACGTGCTATCAAGAAGTAAGAGAGGAGGGTACAATTACAACATTTAAAAGACATTTGGACATGTAGATGGATAGAAATGGTTTGGGGGGAATATGGGCCAAATGCAGGCAAATGGGACTAGTTCAGTTTAGGAAATCTGGTTGGCATGGACGTGTTGGGCGGAACAGTCTGTTTCTGTGCTGTACGACTATAAAGGAGGATCCTTGAGTTTGCTTGCGGTTGATTGTCCAACACTTCTACAAAACACCATAACTGTTGACTTAAGTTTTGCAGAAGCTTCGCTGATTTGAAATGTTAACTCTGCTTTCTCTCCACAGATACTGCCAGATCTGCCAATTTTTCAGCAGCAAATTCTGTTTTTATAACTGCTGACTTCTCAGCTCAACCTTGAACTTTATTGCTTTAATAATTAGTCGTTTCAAAATCAGGAACATCTTAGTTCCTTTTTACCTGTATGCTCTCCTTCTCCTTGGACAAATGCAGTTTGATTTCATAAAAATGGCAAATGTTGGTTAAACTCAGGTTTGACAGCATCTGTGGAGAGAGAAACAGGTAATGTTTGGTGATTTGGTGATGTGTAATGAGGCAGACTTGATTAGGGAGTTTAAGGTGAAGAAACCCCTAGGGGGCAGTGATCATAGAATTCACCCTGAAGTGTAAAAGGGAGAAGCTGGAATCAGTTGTAACAGAATTAGAATTGAGTAAAGGTAACTACGAAGACATGAGGAAGGAGTTGACCTGAGTTGATTGGAAGGGGAGGTAGCAGGAAAGATGGTCGAGCAACAATGGTAGGAGTTGCTGTTACTAATTCAGGAGGCGCAGCAGAAATTTATCCCAAGGAAGAAGAAACTTACTAAGGGGTGGATGAGGCAGCCATGGCTGACCAGGAAAGTCAGGTGCAGCATAAGAGAAAAGAAAAAGCACAAAATGTGGTGAAGATTAGTGGGAAGACAGAGGATTGGGAATCCTTTAAAAACCTACAGAGGACAACTAAATGGCAATAAGCTGGGGAAGAAGACGAAATACGAAAGTAAGCTAGCTAGTAATATCGAAGATTGCAAGATTTTTTAGATACATAAAGGTGAGGGAAGCAGGAGTCAACATTGACTGGAAAATGAGTCTGGAGAAGTAGTAATCGGAAACAAATGGTAGAGGAACTGAATAGGTACTTTGCATCAGTCTTCATGGTGGAAAACACCAGTAGCATACCAGAACTTCAAGAGTTGGGGGCAGAGGTGAATGTAGTGGCCATCACTAATGAGAAGGTGGTCAGGAAGCTGAAACGTCCAAAGGCGGATAAATCACCCAGACCAGATGGACTACACCCCAAGGGTCTGAAGTAGATAGCTGAGGAAATTAATGAAGCATTGGTGGCAATCTTTCAGAAATTGCTGGAGTCAGGGAGGGTCCCAGAGGACTGGAAAATAACATTCCTGTTTCAGAAGGGAGGGAGGCAGAAGATGGGAAATTGTGGGTTGGTTAGCCTGACTTTGGTTGTTGGTAAGATTTTGGAATGTTATTAAGAATGAGATTGCAGAGTACTTGGAAGTGCATAGTAAAACAGGGCTGAGTCAGCATGGCTTTGACAAGAGGACGTCATGCCTGACAAATCTGTTAGAATTCTAAAAAGGTGTTGGGTATGTTGGACAAAGGAGAACTGGTGAATATGATCTATTTGGATTTCCAGAAGGTCTTTGACAAAGTGCCACATAGGAGGCTGCTAAATAAGATAAAAGTCCATGGTGATAGAGGCAAAGTACTGACGTGATTGAGGATTGGCTGACTGGCAGAAGACAGCGTGGGAATAAAGGGGTCTTTTTCACAATGGCAGCTGGTGATTAATGGAATTTCATAGAGATCCAGGTTAGGGCTAAAACTAGTCACATTATGTATTAACAAGCTGGACAAAGGAACTGAGGGTATTGTTGCTAAGTTTGCGGGTCACACGAAGTTAGGTGGAGGCATAGTTGTTGAGGAGGCAGGAAGGCTGCAGAAGGACTTGAACAGGCTAGGAGAGTGGACAAGTAGTAGTAGATGCAATACAATGTGGGAAAGTGTGAGCTTATGCACTTTGGAAGGAAGAATAGAGGCATAGACAGTTTTCTACATAGGGAAAGGCTTTGGGAAAGGAATTTGAAAGTCCTAGTTCAGGATTCTTTTAACGTTAACGTGCAGGTTCATTTGACATTAGGAAGGCAAATGCAATGTTAGCATTCGTTTTGAGAGGGCTAGAATGCAAGACCAGAGATGTTACTGCTGAGACAGTAGAAGGCTCTGGTCTTGGATGACCCTTTAGAACTGAGATGAGGAAGAGTTTCTTCAGCCATAAGATGGTGAATCTTTGGAACTCATTGTCACAGAAGGCAGTGGAGCTCAAGTCGATGAGTGTCTTTAAGGCAATGATATATGTTGGATTTTTTTTGTGTTGAATCCCTAGAGTGTGGAAGGAGGAGGGACGATAAAAAGTGCTACCTTAATATATGTTGTTTTTATTTGTTGTATAGCAATAATGGTTCCTCAAATTGCTTGTCATTTGTTATAATAAACGGTACTATTGTTGACTGTGAATGCAACATCTGATTCTGATTTGAAATTCAGATGCCCTGGAACTCAGTTTTCAACTTTTGGGGTGTGAACTTTAGCTTGTATTCAAATGGTTTCCATTTTTATACAGATACTTAATTTTTGTATGTGATTTTAGAAGAGAACAGTCTTTAAATAGCCGTAAATTATTATAAAATGTGCTATTGCCCAATACATCATGATAGTTGTTAAATATTGGCTTGCATTAGCATGTACGTTTAGCTGTTTCTGGTGACAAACTGTGCCTGTGCATGCATGGGAACCATTTTGATGTTCAGGATACTCACTGGTACCATTAACAGCGATATATCAGGGGTGCAAAGTGAGGAGCTACAGATGTGACACTTTATTCTAGCTTTATCCCACAATACAACTTATTATAAAATTCAAATTTTATAATAGAGCCGTATGGAACTAATACATATTTTACGATTTGTAGGCTTTGAAAAACCATCAGCAATTCAGCAAAGGGCCATCAAGCAAATAATCAAAGGGAGAGACGTCATTGCTCAGTAAGTTTAGCACTTTTAAGCTCTGGCATTGTATGTTGTAAATTGTTAGGAGGCAGTCCTTCATGATCAAGAGTTGCTTGCTTCTGCTGTGGTTCACTGGATTCGTAGGTGGCAGGGAAGTGCAGTGTGGGGTCTGTATACTCTGCTGCATATGAGCAGGTTGTACTTGAAGGTTTGGATCGATGGGGTGTTAGTGCTCACTCCAATGTCTAGATTTTACCTCCATACGTTCTTGATGAAATCTTTTGAGGTGCCTTCCTGAATGACCCTTCTACATTATGATCAGTCATAAGCTAGTGGCTCCCATGAGTTGGCATGGATGTTTCACCTCTTCATGAATGATAAAGAATCCTGGGATTCTGTGATTGTGGCCAAGTTCCAAATAGAACAGTAGCTTTGAAAATTTGGTGTTAGACACGTGAACCATGTATCCTGCCCAGCGATGTTGTTTTTGAGTGATCACTGTTGCTATGTTGGGCATAGTTGGCTTGTCAGTGGATTCTGCTTTTGGATCATCTGTCTTAACACCAGATTTGGAGCATCTTGAGAAGGCACCCTAGTGATACTTCTCCAACATTTTGAAATGCCTTTTTTATTCACTTTTGGGATGTGGATGTTGCTGGCTGGCCAGCATTTATTGCCCTTCCATAGTTGCCCTTGAGAAGCTGGTGATGCTAGGACAAGAGGGCATAGCCTCAAGATTAGAGGGAGCAGATTTAGGACTGAACTGAGAAGGAATTTCTTCACCCAGAGGGTTGTTAATCTATGGAATTCCTTGCCCAGTGAAGTAGTTGACGCTACTTCAGTAAATGTTTCTTAAAAAAAAAGGTTTTTTTTTTTGAACAATAAAGGAATTAAGGGATACGGTGAGAACGCAGGTAAGTGGATCTGAGTCCACGAAAGGATCAGCCATGACCTTATTGAATGGTGGAGCAGGCTCGAAGGGCCAGACGGCCTACTCCTGCTCCTAGTTCTTATGTTCGTATGATGAGCTGCCTTCATGAACCGCTGCAGTCTACTTGCTGTGGGTTGACCCACAATGCCAATAGGGAGGGAATTCCAGGATGTTGATCCACCGCCCACTGTAGTTTGTCCAAATCTCCAAACCTTTACAGGAGAGTAAAATGCTGCTGGTAGACCACTAACCTAATCTTAAGTTTGAGTTCCTGGTCCTGAAGTGTTTTTTCCCTCTGTCAGCTGAAGGCTGAGTTAGCACATTGGAGGTAATGATGAATGTCATAAGTCTTTGTCTGCCTCTATTGAGAGGAGACTCCCAAGATTGGGAAAATGGTCCACGTTTCCAGGTGGTTGTCTTGATCTTGATAGATGGGGACAGGTATAAACTTGTAAACTGTTTCACTGCTATTTACAATTTATTTTTTTAAATTCTAGATCCCAGTCTGGTACAGGGAAGACTGCCACATTCTGTGTGTCAGTGTTACAGTGCTTGGACATTCAGGTAGAACTTACTACCAGATGAATCTGGTTATTCCCTTGGAAATTGATTATATTCAACACTTTCTGCTTTATTTCTTTGCTTATACAGTTGTCTTCAGTACTGAAGAGAACATGTTATATACAGTTTGTTTTAGTATCCGTTCTGAAACAACAAAATGTCTAGTTTACAATTCCCAATGAAATGTCTCATATTCCCCTTTTAAAATCCATTAAAATTTAGGTTCGTGAGACCCAAGCTTTAATATTGGCACCAACTCGGGAACTTGCAGGGCAGATACAGAAGGTAAGAATTAATCGCGTTACAAATCTGTCTTCTATCATTAAAAACTGGATGACAAATGCTAGTTCATAATCTACTGAAGAGTTATTTTTAATGTCATGACTTTGTAACTTTCACAGAAAGGGTGTTCTGTTTCCAACCTTTGTAAATGTCCTATAATGACCTATAATAAAGATTCAGTTGATTTGTTAAGTTATCATGAATCAGTGGCCCTAATTGTTATTGAATTGGAAGATTTAATCCCTGAATTTGGTCCCAGCATTCCAGAATTTCACACAATAAAAATGGAATTTCACTTTCGTATGTCGTGCAGATCAATTTTTCTGGCCTTCCCTAAAGCTATGACACAGTATATCTGCTTTCAATCAGGAAACCATCTTTTCTGAGATAAAAACAAGATTAGAGTTGTTGCATGGTATTAATTCAAGGGCGCATTCCTAATTGTACTGTTGAGTTCTATTTTTTTTATTCCACTAAGTTACAACTTCTCTTGTGGTGTACTGGCAATACATTGTGTAACTTGGTAGATCTGTAGACATGCTCAGTTTGCTGAACTCTGCTTGAGCTGAAATGGGATATTAAAATTAATGTTGGTGCTCCTGAGTGCTGCGAGAGTAATTCTGTTCTACTTCTGATTGCAACCTGGTGGTCCTTTCTGGGAAGTGCTCATATGAGTCATAGAGTTCTATGGCATAGCAAAAGGCACCTCAGTCCATCACGTCTGCAACAGTCAAAAGTATCCACTTAACTATGCGAATCCCATTTCAACTTTTGGTCAGAACTAATGGGCTTTGCTGTCCCACCATACATAAATTGAATCCTACCTCCCAATAATATTGAGGTGAAAAAGTGTAATGCAAGTGAAAATGTAGGATTTTGTCAGTAACTTATCTAATTCGGAAGTAGGTAATCAGTGCCTTGAAGGTTTAACTAGACATCATGCATGTGTAAGCACTGGTCTAAAAAATTGTTCTTTTAACATTTATTTTATAAACTGTTGGTATTGAACCATTGTATTATGTGTTTGTGTGAAATCAAAGCGTTCTGTTCTTTTAGTAACACTTTGACTTCGGATATAATAAAAATCAATGTTATTATAACACCTTTCATAATCTAAAGATGTCTCAAATGGTCCATGACCAATTAATTACCTCTCTCCTTTAAATGTAGTTACTATTTTAGGGAAGTGTGGTGGCCATTTCATGCATAGCAACATCCCATGTGCTGCAAAAATAAGTGACCCAATTTCTTTTTTGGAAGAGTGAATGTAGAGTGGGATGTGGAGGAAACTGTCGAGCATGACTTTTGAACAGAGTCGTAGAACTCATAGAATCCCCACAGTGTGGAAGCAGGCCATTCAGCTCATCGAGTCCACACCAACCCTCTGAAGAGCATTCCTCCCAGACACACCCCCCATCTTATCCCCGTAACCCAGCATCTCCCATGGCTAACCCACTTAGCCTGCACATCCCTGGACACTACAGGCAATTTAGCATGACCAGTCCACCTAACCTGTACATCTTTGGACTGTGGGAGAAAACTGGAGCACCCAGAGGAAATCCATGCAGACACGGAGAACGTGCAAACTCCACACAGACAGTTCCCGAGGGTGGAATCAAGCCCAACTGCCTGGTGCAGTGAGGCCACAGTGCTAACCACTATGTCACCCTGCCGCCCGTAAGATCTTCTGCTTCTCATCCACCATATGGTGAGCTTTACCATAACAGAATCTACTGAAAGTTTGGAAGAGGAATCTAAAAATGTTCAGTAGCTGCCGATGGGGAACATGTCTGTATGGATCTCCATACTTTAAGTTCTTAGTAGTAGAATTGAGTGCATTGTTTGGTACCATTTTATTGTGGTGTCTGAGTATCTCGTGTCTTTTCATTAGGTACTGCTTGCTCTTGGCGACTATATGAACGTACAATGCCACGCTTGTATTGGAGGTACCAATGTTGGAGAAGACATCCGGAAGTTGGACTATGGACAGCATGTAGTTGCTGGTACTCCAGGGCGTGTATTTGGTGAGGAACTTATTTCACCTGTCATTTTTTAAAAATCATTAAATGTTCACTTCCTCTTGATCAAGTTAACCTCATTTACCTTTTCAGTATTTATCTTTCCACTGTTAGTCACACAAAACTTCTACCCTTCACTGCCCTTCAGCCACTTGCTGTTAGTCAGTGGTGTAGTAAAATGTCGTAAACAGGTAATACATTTGGAAAACTTCATAAATCATACAGTGCACTTTATGTAAAAGGACTCATTAAGTTAGTCCCTGTGTTCATTCTGTAAGTAAAACAAAGAGTTTTACAATACAGAATTGGGTCATTCAGCTTGTCAAATTTGTGCTGAACTACTGAGACTTTTCAGTTATTTATGGGAGTTATTAACCAGCAAAATATTAACCAGGACACTGAATAAACAGCCCTGATCTTGTTCTTTTATGTCCACCAGAGAGAGTTTAATGTCTCATCCAAAGATGACATCTCCAAAAGTGGCCCTCTCAGTAGAATATTGAAGTCTAAAGTCCATCTAAGTATTTGATCTGAAGTTTCTGGAGGAGGACTTAAACCACCACTTTTTTGGGGAGTGAATATTATCACTGAGCTATGGCCAACACTACCAGAAGTTAAATGTAGCACATTATTGACATGAGATTAATGTTATAAAATTTAATGATGCCATATTTATCAAACATGTTGTACTGCATTCATGTACAGGTCCATCAACATGGTCATTACCTGCAAGCATTTGGCAGCAGTATTAGCTATCCAGTCATGTTGAGGCATGCTTTCCTATCATCACCCATCTATTTCAATGATTCTACGAAAAAGGAAAAGGACAGGTGTAGTTCCTCACCAAATAGTTGAGCTTGCTAATTCTCGGACAATAAATTGTCATCAACTGCCCCCTGTATTTTCAATGATCAAATATCTGTCAAAGTCTGAGTAACAGGATGGAATGTTGTTATGTAGTTTGTGGTGGAGCATTTCTGGACTCAACATTAACTCTTTTCTCCTCACAGATACCACCAGACCTGCTGAGTTTCTCCAGCAATTTGTTTTTGTTTATTTCATATTTCCAGTAACCACTGTTCTTTGTTTTAATTTCCTGTAGTTTTTCCAGAGCATATACTCAAAATTTCAATTGGTGTGTCTTCACCTATGATTTGCAGCTCCATTGAACACATGGAAACTGATCCTGATTATGGGTCTATTTTTACAGATATGATCCGAAGACGAAGTTTGAGGACACGTGCCATCAAAATGTTGGTTCTTGATGAAGCAGATGAGATGTTGAACAAAGGTACCTCATCCTTAAATTCTGGCATTAGTTGAAATAGCTTGACTTGTAATCCTTTGAGTATAGAAGCTGAGGGATGGTCTAATTGATGCATAACAATATAAAGGGTTTCAGTTTGGTCAAAGAAGATAAACAACATCTGATGCAGAAATTCCAAACAAGGAGGCATGTCTTCAAAATTAGAATAACATCATTAAGGAGCATGATAAGGTTCGCCTTCACACAAAGCATAATGGAAAGGTTTGGTCAGTTGAAAATACCAAGCAACCAGTAGTTTTTGTTTTTTGAGGCGGTGGGTTGGGTACCAAGTAAAGTTCCCTGTAAGTTTTCACAAAATCTCAAGAAACAAGAGCAGGTGTAGTAAAGGATATGGGCCATCAAGCCTTCTCTGCCGTTGCCTGGCATTTGAGTAACGTCTGTGCCACACAAATGACAGGCAATGACCAGCTCCAATAACAGACCATCTAACCGCTGCTCTTTGACATTTGGTCGTATTACTGTCACTGAATCCCCCACTATCGACATTCCTGGGGGTTACCATTGACCAGAGATTCAACTGAACTCGCCACATAAATACAGTGGCTACAAGAGCACTTCAGAGGCTAGGAATATAGTGGTGAGTAACTCACCTCCTGACTCCCCAAAGCCTGTCCGTCATCTACAAGGCGCAAGTCAGGGGTGTGATGAAATATTCCTCACTTGCCTGAATGGGTGCAGTTCCAACAACGCTTAAGAAGCTTGACACCATCTAGGACAAAGCAGCCTGTTTGATTGGCACCACATCTACAAACAAGCATTCCCTCCACCACTGAAGCACAGTAGCAACAGTGTACTATTTACAAGATGTGCTGCAGAAATTCACCAAAGATCTTTGTACAGCACCTTCCAAACTTCTTACCACTTCCATCTAGAAAGGCAAGGGTGGCAGATACAGGGGAACACCACCACTTGCAGGTTCCCCTCTAAGCCACTTGCCATTCTGACCTGGAAATATATCACGGTTGCTGGAGTAAAATCTTGGAATCCCCTTCCTGAGGGCAATGTGGGTTGCAGGTGGAATGCAGTGGTTCAAGAAGGCAGCTCACCACCATCTTCTCAAGGGCAACTAGGAATAGGCAATAAATGCTGGCCAGCCAGCAAAGCCCATGTTCCAGGAATGAATGAAAACAAAATTCAATTCAATCATGCCTGCTGTTGGGCTTCAACATCATTTTTCTGCTTGTTCCCCATATTCCTTGATTTCCTTAGACACCAAAAATCCATCTAGCCCAGCCTTAAAATGTATTCAGTGATGGAGACTATGCAGACCACTGGGGCAGAGAGCACCAATGATTCCCTGACCAACAGAAATCATCTCAACATCTACCCTGTACCCTTCGGAATCCAGTAGTAATGATGAGACCAAATGTGTACAGGCATTTTAGATGTGGTCTCATCAACACCTTGTACAATTCCTCTACTGCAGTCCCCTTACAATAAAGACCAACATGCTATTGACCTTCATAATTGCTTATGAATATGGAAGTTTCCTGTGTACTTTGCATGAGCATATCCAAGTCTCCTTAAGCATCAACATTTACAAGTTTCATACTTTTTAAAAAGAAATCTGCATTTCTATTCCCACTTTCACACTGAAGTTCACACTTTCCTCTGTTGTAATCCACCTGCTTTCAAGGTTGCCACTCATGTAACCTGTCTATATCTCTTTGCAGCCTTTGTTTCCTCGCCTTAGCTTGCATTTCCACTGAGCTTTGTATCAGCGGTTATTCTCTGCCCCTTCATTTAAGTTATTAATGTAGATTTTAAAAGCTGAAGCCCAGCACTGATCCTTGTGACACTTCGCTGCTTGCCAATTTGAGAGTACCTCATTTATGTCCACACTCTGTTTCCTGTCTGTTATCTAATCCTCTATCCATGTGAACAAATCACCCCAAACTCCATGAGACCCTATCTTGCCTGTTAACCTTTTTTGAGGTACCTGATCATGTTTATTTTGAAATCCAGGCATAAAATATCTAATTCTCTTTTATCTACCTTATTACCTACATTGTCAAAATATTAAAATTTGAAAAACAAGATTTCCTTTTAGTAAAACCATTGAGTTGTTCTAATCATACATTGCTTTTCGAAGTCTGTTGTTGAGACTTCTTTAATAATAGATTTCATACACTTGTCCCAACAATCAGTGTTAGGCTAACTGACGTGTAAGTTTCTGCCTTTCTTGAAAGGTGGTGTAGTATTGTCAATTTTGAATCCAATGTTCCATTCCTAAATCTAAGAAATTTTGGAAAATCATAGCTAGGGTATCCACAATCTCTGCAATCATCTGTTTTGGAACTTTGGGGTGTGGCCACCAAGTCCCATGGATTTGTTGGATTGTAGTCCCTTAAATTACTCCATGATACTTTTTATTTGTATTTATTTCATTAATTTCCTCACTTTTCTTTAGCCCATTGGTTATTGTCTATTTCTGGATTGAAACTTGTGTCTCCTGCTATAGACACACAATATTTGCTCACTGTCTCTGCCTTTTCTTCATTCCCCAGTGATGATAATTTCACCCACCTTTGCTGCCTAAGAGCTAATGTTTAAGTTAGAAACTCCTTTTCTTATACAAGTTTTTGCAGTTAGTCTTTATATTTCTGATGAGTTCATTCTCTCATTCGTTCTAATCTTTCCCTTTTTATCAACTTTGTTAGTAGCCCTTTGCTGATTTCTAAAACACTGTCAATTCTCCAACCTGTTCCTTTTTTTGTTTTTGCAATATTATAAGCTGCTTTGACCTAACTACTGTTAACTTTAACTTTGACCCACCTGTGGCTCACTTGTAATCTTGCTGAGTTTTTGTTTTCTTTAATTGATTATACTTTCGTTGACATTTTGAATTTTTTAAAATGCTCCCCACTGTTCGTTTACAGCCATATCTTTTAGTCTACTTGCCCATTTAACTGTAATCCGTTCTATCACATACCTATTTAACTGGATCTTTTAAGTTTTAAGATTGTTGTTTACATTTACAAGTATGTCACTTTCTAACAACTTTAAATTCAAAGGTATTATGATCACTATTTCCCAGAGAATCACTATTTCCCAGAGAATCATTTACTACGACATTATTAATCAAGCCCGCGTCATTACGCAATACTAAATCTAGGATTGCTTTATTCTTATTTGGTTCCGAGAAACTGCCATGAAAACATTTTGCTAACTTATCATTTAGAGTATTCTCGCCAATTTGATTGTCCCAGTCTGGATGAAGATGGAAGTCCTTCACAATTATTTCATTGTCTTCGTAACAAGCTGTAATATTTTCTTGGTTAGTACTCTGTCTGATGTTGCAACTACTGTTAGAGAATCTATAACGTATTCCTAGCGGTGTTTCTCACTCTTACTGTTCCTAATTTGCACCCATATTGATTCTACTTCATGATCTTCTGAGGCCTGATCCTTTGTCATCACTGAATGTCTGTGTGTTATACTTTACTATTTCTGCTACTCTTCTTTTGCCGTTCTAGTCGTGTCTCCAAAATATTGTGCACCCTGGAATATTTACTTTCCACCTATTATTATCTTATAGCCATGCCTTAGTGGTGGCTAGATGTAAATCATTTACCTCTATCGATGAACCTGTTGGTGATTTCTGTTAAATGCTTTATCCCTTCCTCACTCTGCTTGTTTTTACCCAGATTGCTATTGTTTTCCTTTCAAACTTTCTGTTTGGATTTCTAAATTTCTCCTCGTCTGAACTCCCACCGAGTTATACAGTTGGCCAGGATACCATGTCAGCATGGTTCACCATGGAGCCCATCCCAAAAGAATAGCGCAGTCTTCTATGAACACTGATGACAGTTCTCATGAATCAAAATTCCGTCTTCTGATCCCACTCTGAGACGTGTTTAATTCTCTAATCTGCTTGACCCATTTCCAATTAGCGTATGGCTCAGGTAACAATCCAGAGATGACCACCCTTGTTCTGCATTTTAACATGCATTCTAACTCCTCTGATTTTCTTAACAGAACTTCATTCTTATTTCTATCTATGGAGGCTCCCAGTGGACCACAACACTGGACCTTCCCCTCTCACATAAAATACTGTGAGGCAGTGTCCTTAACGAGATAAGCGACAACCTTTGGAGTATCTATTCCCCTGACTGTACTGTCCCCTCTCGCTCCACATTACTAGTAACTTCCACCATCTTTCAGCTTGGTATATGGTCAGTCTACTCATCCTCCTTGTAGAGATTCTCCTCACCCCCATAGGTAACGATTACCTTGTGCCTGTCTGACTCTAAGGCATACCCTCCTGTCTCTGTCCAATGGTCAGCTCTAAAGTTTTGCCTAATCTAAGGGGTGTTATTGCCTTCAGGTACCCCTTCCTCCAAAGTCTGTAGCTCAGGCTCCAGATCAGCTGTTCTGAGCCAAAGTTGTGCAAACTGCAAACATCTATCAGATATGTTTCTCTGGGACCTCAGTGCATCCCACTACATTTAACAGAAATCAGCAGGAAATAGGGGTTAAAACATTGAAGGTTCTTTATTCCAATGGCAAAAATAGAGGTTTCCGGATACTGCACTTGCGGTGAATGTATTTACTTAATTCATGAATTAGGTATTATTTACATTTCTAAAGTAATATAAGTAGGAAAATGCAGTTCCCTTGCTTGAATAATAATAAAGAAATCTCATCATGGCTGGAGGTTGATTTTTTTTTAAAAGCAGATGATGGAGCATCTCTTTTCCCCATGCACCAAATTCTAATGTGGACTAAATTTGCTATTACATGCTTCATCTATAGCTTGGGCACAGTCTCCTGATTGTGTGGCCTTTTAATGACCTGTTGTATGTGGCCTGTTGATTTGAATGCTTTGTTTCTTTAAACACTTTAGCATAGCTGTGCACACATAGTATGTCACAGGCATTTTCTCAACTTGTGAATGTCTCAGTTGGTGGCTGCATGCAATTTATGGGGAATACTGTTATCAAGACATATGGGGCAAACACAGGTAAATGGAATTTATCTATAGAAATGCCATGATCTAATTGCATGTGGAACTAGCACAGTGGCTTGAATAGCCTGTTTCTATTTTCACATCCCTTCAGTAACTTGTTATCCTTCTCTTCGCCATGTTTTACTCAAAGGTTTGCAGTAAATAAGATGGTTATTCCATTTGGATCCATCTTAAACATATTTTATACACTATATGAGCTAGTATGTTTTGTTCCCAGTCCCATTTGTTCTGAACAGTGTGTATATTTTGTGTACTAAGTTTGTTTTTCAAGATGTGCTTAAATTGTTTTAAATATTTTGAAATGTTTGTTAGAATATAAGATAAAATGCCTATTTATATATTTAATCCTGAATTTCATTTTGTGTTGAATTATTCCATGAAAGATGAATCGATTTTTAAATGTTATCTTAAAGCCATTCGTAGGTTTTTGTACACTGTGTCCGGCAACAGTAGTTAACTTTGTTTCCTGAATGTAGGTTTTAAGGAGCAGATCTATGATGTGTACAGATATTTACCCCCAGCCACACAAGTAATTCTGATCAGTGCAACACTGCCTCATGAAATCTTGGAAATGACCAACAAGTTCATGACTGATCCAATCCGAATCCTTGTCAAACGGTACGTTGTTTCTGTATTACTAAAAGTGCCATTTCAAGTTGCTGTAGAAGCTTACTGGGCTTGGAGCCTCTGTGGTTTGAGTACAATCTATTGCACATTCTTAATTTATTGTAATTAACAAAAACTGGAATTCGAATTATGTAGTTTAACTTTGCTTTCTTAATTCTTCTACTGAATTGAAATATACCACTGTACTATTAATTCACTATGCACTGCACAGGCCTATCTAGAAATTACTGTTTCCTGCGCCCCTAATTAATTTCGGCAAACGATCAGGGGAGGTGATGGCCTTGTGGTATTATCGCTGGACTGTTAATCCAGAGACCACAGGTAATGTTCTGGGGACCTGGGTTCGAATCCCGCCATGGCAGAATTTGAATCCAATAAATATCTGGAATTAAAGGTCTAATGATGACCATGAATCCATTGTCGATTGTTGGAAGAACCCACCTGGTTCACTACTGTGAAGGAAATAGGGAAGGAAACTGCTATTCTTACCTGGTCTGGCCTATATGTGACTCCAGACCCACAGCAATGTCGTTGACTCTTAACTGCCCTCTGGGCAACAAATGCTGCCTAGCTATTGACACCCTCATCCCGTGAATGAATAAAGAATAAAGAAAAAGACTATTGCATGGTCGTTGTAACTCTGAGGGTTATGTACGTTATTTATTTTCTCATAAAACCATTTTGGCCTCTAGCACCAAGCAGAATTCCCTAATTAACAGGGGAAGCAAGTCCTTTGATGTCAGCCTCAAATGACCACATTTGAATAAAAAGTAAATATGTAAGCTTGGAACGTAGCCTACATATTTGTGCATCCTGCTGCTTCTCCAGATTCCCAGCTACTCTCTTGGAGACACAACATCCTACTGAGCCCTCCAGTACACCAGGTGACAGTACCTCTCCACAGTGCACTGGTTCCGTACTACACAGCTGTATGCTCGATAATTTTTGTGCAGAAGTCCTGAAATGGATTTGCTACCAACTGAGCCAGGGTTTTCACTTGTGTTATGAACTGCTGATAATTTTTAAACTTGCAATCAGGATGTTATTTGCATTCAACATTTTTTGGCTTTGACATTTACTTCCAGTGGCTCCTGCCACCTTTGGAGTATAGAGTCTTGCATTATTTATGTTTCAAATTTTAGAAATTAGACCTTAACAAACTTGTGTTGTCTCTGCTGTGGGCTTCACAAATGGTTATGGCTACTTGTCAGTCCCAGCACTGATGAACTGTCTCTGAACTAGTGAGCAAGCAAACTTGGTCTGCCTTAGTCTGTGTGACTCAGTCACGTATCCACTCATGCAGTAAGCCACACAAAAATTGATAGAGTCAAGAATCAAGGTCCACTTAAGTTCTTACATATCTAGTTCTAGTTTACCCTTCGTGCAAATTTAGTGTGATGTATTCAAAAGGCTGTCCTATGGGGTGGTATAATTATAAAATTTTATATGTTTGACATTAGCTTCGACTTGGCTGAAAGAAGAATTGATGCCCTGCTTGGGCAAGGTTTACACTGGGACATAAAGAACAAACTAACTTGACCAGTGATGGAACTGAGGTCAGTAGAGGTTTAAAGCACAATTTTGCAATCTCACTTTTTCATGTTATTGTTTACAGTGATGAGTTGACCTTGGAAGGAATCAAACAGTTCTTTGTAGCAGTTGAAAGGGAGGAGTGGAAGTTCGACACATTGTGTGACTTGTACGACACACTGACCATTACTCAAGCTGTTATTTTCTGCAATACAAAACGGAAGGTACAGAAAACATTCCTTACGCACCCGTCTTGTAAACTTGTATGATAGGAATTACATTGAAGCTTTTGAAGAAACTAACAATCTGAATTACATTCTAAATCTACTAATCCTTATTTGCATATTATTCTTGGCTCAAATTGTCAGTCTTCAGTTGTGTAAATGTTACTGATTCATTTACAAGTTGCGGTACTGCTACCACGCATCTATTGACATCAATGGACCATGTGATCAGACTGGACAAGTCTGAGGGGAAAGTTAATAGGACCTGGGGCCAACCATGCGACTGTGTAAATCTCTGTATAACAAGGAGTGGGTGTTTGTGCTTCAACGTAAGTGCAAGACAGCATCAGCAGAAATTTGTATTCCAGTATTATGGAGTGTTTGAAATTTTAACATAAAAGCATTATTTTCTAAAGTATTAGATCAGTATTGCACAGGGATCCTGGCCTGTCCTGCTTCTGTCTTGTGAGGAACACACTTGCCACATCAGTTTGTAACTTGCCATTTGACAGATGGGGTTTGTCACAAGGAACCTGCAACTTACTACATTTCCCATTCCTTGATCCAAAAGATTTTTGTTGAAGGAACTTGCTGAGGAATGTTCCTTCATATGGGGTTCTGAGATGGAAGATGGGCAGGAGGTGGGTTGAACAAGTAATTTTAGAGTGACGAGGAACAGCACAGATGGTTTCAGCCAGTTGTATATTTTTAGTCAGCAGAATTTTGGGGAGTGATTTGTGAAGACAGGAAGCTGGGGAGGGACGTTGAGCAGAGGGTTCCAGGTATGATGCACATTGCGTTAAATTGAGTGTCAACAAGGTGTGTGTGATGACCTTTGCCAGACAACTGATGTATGTGGGTATACCTTCTCTGAAAATTAGAGAAGATGAGCTTGGACAAAATACTAGGATTAAATACTTAAACCAAGAGACATGAACATTGTGTAGAAAGGACCGAGAAAAGTGAGTTAATTCTGAATATGTTCAGAAAGTGCTTTTACAATTTGAAAATAATGTGAAATCATAGCTGTCTTGGAATCACTCCCATGTCACACAAAAAACAATGTGTCTGCGTGCTACACGTACTCCTATAAGTTCTCAAGTTATGAATAAGTAAGATTAGAATGTCTTAAAACATCAGGAAACATTTTATAATTTATATAAAATATGCATTGCAAACAAGATGTGGTCCAGCACGGGAGACAGATGATGAAGGTAAGAACCTGTGGGATTGAAGGAAATTTGGATAATTGGATCTGGAATTGGTTGAGTGGCAGGACACCGAAGGTGATGGTCAAGGAGTGTTGTGAGTGGAAGCTTGTGTCCAGTTTGGAGTTCTGCAGGGATCACTGTTGAGTCCCTTGCTGTTTGTGGTCTCTATGAATGATTTAAACTTCACAGATGATACAGAAATTGGCCTGGTGGTAAATAATAGCCTTGGATTACGAGAGGATATAGATGGGCTGATCAGTGCCAAATGGAATTCAATCCAGATAAGTGTGAGGTGATGTACTTGGGCAGGACAAATAAGGCAGGGCAATACAAAATGAAAGGTCAGATTCCAGTAACCACTGAGATCAGAGGGATCTTGGTGTGCATGTTTACCGGTACCTGAAGGTAGAAGGACAATTGGATAAAGTGATTAAGAAGGCATATGCTTTTATTAGCTGCGGCATAGAGTTTTAGTGCAGGGAGGTTATTCTGGAACTATATAAAATGTTGGTTAGGCCTCACTTAGAGTATTGTTTGTAGTTATGGAATCCACATTATAGGAGGGATGTGATTGTACTGGAGAGGGTGCAGGAAATTTACCAGGTTGTTGCCTGGGCTGGAGAGTTATAGTTGTAAGGTGAGATTGGATAGATTGGGATTGTTTTCTTTTGGGCAGAGAAGACAAAGCGTAGTGACTGAGAAACAAAAGTATGAGTGCCATAGATATGGTAGACTGGAAGAAATTTTTCCCTTGGTGACAGGATTAATGACCAGAGGGGACAGATTTAAACTAAAGGGTAGGTGGTTAAGAGGTGACATGATGAAAAATGTTTTCATCTAGAGGGTGGTGGGAATGAGGAACTCACTGCTGTAAAGGTGATAGAGGCAGAAACCCTCATGACATTTTAAGTATTTTATTTGTACATTTTTGATGCCAAGGCATACAAAGCTATGGGCCAAGTGCTGGAAAATGGAATGTGAATAGTTTTGTGATTGTCTTTGACTGGTATAGACTTGATGGACTAAAGGGTATTTTTAAAAATGCCATAGGCCTTTCTGACTGAGGGCAAGGAGAATTGAGGAATTAAAGAAAATAAACAATAGTGCCGTTAAGTCCAATTAAGTTGTCGGTTCTTCGCAAATTTTAATGACTTGTTTCACAACAAGTTCTGTGGTTCCTGAAGGCATTGCTTTTTCTGCCTGTAAGTGAAAAGTTCGACTCTACTGTTTAATAGAACTGTGGTAATTTCAGATACTGAGCAAAGTCAAATTTTTAATTAAAAAGATCCATTGTGGTTAAAATGGTTGTCCACAAAGGGGAAATTAACAGTAAATAGCTTCCAATACTTTTGTTCCATTACGTAGGTGGACTGGCTCACTGAAAAAATGAGAGAGGCTAATTTCACAGTGTCATCAATGCATGGTGACATGCCACAAAAGGAGAGAGAGTCCATCATGAAGGAATTCCGTTCTGGTGCAAGGTGAGTAGTGGTTGAAAACTATTTGCCTTACTTATTACTTCTTATAGCACTGACCTAAAGATAACTGTTCCTGCATTTGCTTTACAGTCGAGTGCTCATTTCTACAGATGTTTGGGCACGAGGATTGGACGTCCCTCAGGTCTCCCTAATCATAAACTACGATTTACCAAATAACAGAGAGTTGTATATCCACAGGTAAACTATGATGCTTTAATTTTATAATGGATTTGGAACCCACAGAACTTCTCACTCTGTTCTTGGTCTGTGTTTCCTTGTGTTTTGGTTTCAGTCCGATTCCTAGGTGAAATGATAGATCTTAATTCCCTTTCTTCGTTGCTAGTCATGAAAATCAAAGTATCCCCATTTCCACTCTGTTCTTTTGCGTAGTATGGAACTACTTCAGATTGAAGCCAAGTTATCGTAAATGGGAGAATAAAATGATCTGCAAAAATTTTCATTGTGACATAACGGTTGCAACAGAGAGGTGGCTAAACATTTTAAATAGTATCTGGACACATCCTCAATATATCAAATTACACCCAGTCCTCACAATCCACGAGGGATAGGGGCACAGATTTGCTGGAGATAAAACTCTTAAGTGCTGCAAAGGACTGCAGCCCAGACAAGACAGAGGACGGGGGGGCAAGCAAGATGGGGTCTGGGGCTGACTTCACAGGTATGCAGATTGCAAGTCAGCATATGAGGACTGAGTGTTGTAAATTCTGAACCAAGAGAGTATCTCTCATAACTAGTTTCAGGTAATGTGGCACATTATTTTGAGTGCTAATGATTCGTTCCTCTGTTAATAGTTGGAGCTGCAATCTGTTGAAGGTTTTAACTGTTCACTCCAGTAAATCCCTTTTTACAGTATTTTTGATATACCCTTGTGTTGCCAGGATTGGTCGATCGGGTCGATATGGCCGAAAAGGTGTGGCTATCAACTTTGTTAAGAATGATGACATTCGTATACTGCGAGATATTGAACAATATTACTCTACACAGATTGATGAAATGCCAATGAACGGTGAGCTCTAATTACAGTGTCCTTTGGTTATTCAACACACAAGGCTGTTACAATCTGGTATTATTTTTATTGATTAGTTTACCAAAAATAGGCCAGAAAAGATGCATTAGCAGTTTGTGAACATAGTTTATTAAACAGTTCAAGTTTTGTTCTAGAGTCCATTGGTGCCAATACAAAAGTTTAGAAACATCAGCCTGAGCTATTGTTTCTCTATTTAAAATGACCCTTTATAAAATAGACAGTTGCTTATCACCTAAAAAGCGGTAATTGGTTATTTGTATTAACATTGTGGTTCCACAATGCTTGGGGAAGTTAATCAATTGAAGGCCATTAGGGTGCAGCTTCCTTCGTTTCTCCTTATACGGATTTCTGAAAGCGTTAAGTGCACACGCAGCAAGTTGTATGTCATGCAACTTATTAACATTTGTTTCAATTTTTTTTAACCTAGTTGCTGACCTTATTTGAAGGAAGGGAAAGACTGGAAGACCTGGATGGGCCGTGGATTGCATTTCTTCAGTGCAAAACAAAACACTTCACATTATATAAGGACCTTGTTTGTGCTGCATCTAGCTTTGACAATTCTGGATTTTACTTTCAGTACCTTGTGGTTTTGAAAACCAATGCCATTACTTTTTTTTTGTAAAACAGGGGATTATTAGTTTGTTTTTGCAACTATTAAATACAGAATTTTAAACTCATCTGTAATTTTAGTGAAATACTATGTATGGATACCATTTATCTTCATTAAAGTTTGATATTAATGTCCTTTATTGTAAGTCTGCAGCCACATTTTAAGTTTTAGAAATGGAGGCACTAAGTCTTGTGGTCTGTAGTAGGTAACTTGTCATTTGAAAAGGGGTTGACTTAAGAGGAGAGCCAATTCTATGTGCAATTTGTGCAGTGATCCTCATTTCTTCTTTGTCCAATTTAATTTCTTGAAAAATGACTTTGCAAAATATTTTTCTTGGTTTGGGTTATACTGATAAGGCCAGTATTACTTCCTTTGGCTTCTCTCATTTCACTTGGGAGTTGCCTCAACACTGATTCGACCAGAAGATGGAGAACACTGACTAATCACCTATTCATCTTTCAATCCTTTTTTTTTAAGAAAGTATTGTTACGACAGCATTCCATCTGCTCTTGGGATTGCCGGTAATAAAGAAAACAGGAATGTTTGTTCATCTCCCACCTCAACACACCATGCCTTTTCAGTTTTTCGTCAACTTTGAGAGTTTTGAGCAATCTTGACTACCCTCCTCCCACCCCTAATGTACCTGTTGCTTTTATCCTTTCTTGATAGTGCTCACAGTGCCCAGGTTAGGTGGATTAACTATGGGAAATGCAAGTTTATAGGGATGAGTTGCATCTGGGCGGGATACAGTTTGGAGGGTCCGTGTGGACTTGATGGGCTGAATAGCATGCTTCCACACTGTGTAGGGTTTCTCTATTCCGTATATTTAAAACCAACATGATTGCCTTTTTTACTGCTAGCTGTTTAATGCAATTGTAACTTGCCAAGCCATTTTAGTTGGTATCAAGACTCCGTTGATGTCAGACTCAAGTCACATACAGGCATAAACCATTCAATAGCTTTAATTTTGATTAGTAGGAATATGCTGAATGTGATATTAAAAATAAGTATGAGATCTTACTCTTTCCCCCAGTTATGTAATTATGTTTGATAGAACACAATTTAGCTGATTAACAAATGGATGAGATGCTTTCTCATGTTTTAAAAAGCCTCCACTCCTTTGAAACACCAGCAGTGTTCAAAACTAGCAAAGTGCTTCCCTGGCTCTGGTGGGTAAATATTATTTGAACTTGAGAATGAAAAATTATTATTGCAGAAGTATTTATTTAAACACCTAACCCATGCAATCATTGTACGTCTAACACTAAAAATCTCTGTAGCCAGGCTAACTTTATTGGGTTCTCCTTAATGTTTTTCTCTACTAACAACTTGTCCCCATTCAAGACACTGCCACCAGCTGTTGGTAACTGCATCTGTGCCACAACTACCACTCCTCTAGGCACCCCACTTTATTTTGTGAAAAGAGCCTGGCCCCCACAATCAACCCAACGGCCAATCAGAAAATTGCAGATGGATAAAGACTCATTTTATTAGTTTCCTGGGTATTTTGGTGAAAAACTGATCACATCTTTGACAGAGCTAGAACTAGAGGATATAGTTTGTCTTGAGCATGAGCTCATGTAATCATCTCATTAGAAACCTTTAAAAGTAATGTTTCAACTATCAGTGACTAATTCAGAACTGGGAATGAACAAAACTGATAAACTGGGAGTTAAAAATTGTTTCAGACATAGTAGGAACTGCAGATGCTGGAGAATCTGAGATAACAAGGTGTAGAGCTGGATGAACACAGCAGGCCAAGCAGCATCAGAGGAGCAGGAAGGCTGACATTTCGGGCCTAGACCCTTCTTCAGCAATGGGGGAGGCGAAGGGGGTTCTGAAATAAATAGGGAGAGAGGGGGAGGTGGATAGAGGAGAAGATCGGTGGAGAGGAGACAGACAGGTCAAAAAGGCGGGGATGGAGCCAGTAAAGGTGAGTGTAGGTGGGGAGTTAGGGAGGGGATAGGTCAGTCCAGGGAGGATGGACAGGTCAAGGGGGTGGGATGAGGTTAGTGGGTAGGAGATGGGGGTGGACCTTGAGGTGGGAGGCAGGGACGAGCTGGGCTGGTTTTGGGATGCGGTAGGAGGAGGAGAGATTTTGAAGCTTGTGAAGTCCACATTGGTACCATTGGGCTGCAGGGTTCCCAAGCAGAATATGAGTTGCTGTTCCTGCAACCTTCGGGTGGCATCGTTGTGGCACAGCAGGAGGCCCAGGATGGACATGTCGTCTGAGGAATGGGAGGGGGAGTTGAAAAGATTCGCGACTGGGAGGTGCAGTTGTTTAGTCCGAACCGAGCGTAGGTGTTCTGCAAAGTGGTCCCCAAGCCTCCGCTTGGTTTCCCCGACGCAGAGGAGGCCACAATGGATACAGCGGATGCAGTATACCACATTAGCAGATGTGCAGGTGAACGTCTGCTTGATGTGGAAAGTCTTCTTGGGGCCTGTGATGGGGGTGAGGGGGGAGGTGTAGCACTTCCTGCGGTTGCAGGGAAAAGTGCCGGGTGTGGTGGGGCTGTAGGGGAGTGTGGAGCGGACAAGGGAGTCACGGAGAGAGTGGTCCCTCCGGAAAGCAGATAAGGGTGGGGAGGGAAAAATGTCTTTGGTGGTGGGGTCGGATTGCAGATGGCGGAAATGTCAGAGGATGATGCGTTGGATCCGGAGGTTGGTGGGGTGGTACGTGAGGACGAGGGGGATTCTGTTTTGGTTGTTATTGTGGGGAGGGGGTGTGAGGGATGAGTTGCGGGAAATGCAGGAGACACGGTCGAGGGCATTCTCGACCACTGGTTGGGGGGGGGGTTGCAGTCCTTGAAAAACAAGGACATCTGAGATGTACGGGAGTGGAATGCCTCATCCTGGGAGCAGATGCGGCGGAAGTGAAGGAATTGGGAATAGGGGATGGCATTTTTGCAGGAAGGTGGGTAGGAGGAGGTGTATTCTAGGTATCTGTGGGAGTCGGTGGGCTTGAAATGGATATCGGTTTCTATGTGGTTGCCAGAGATGGAAACAGAGAGGTCCCGGAAGGAGAGAGAGGTATTAGACATGGTCCAGGTGAACTTAAGGTTGGGGTGGAAGGTGGTGACGTGGATGAACTGTTCGAGCTCCTCGTGGGAGCACGAGGCGGCGCCGATACAGTCATCAATGTAACGGAGGAAGAGGTGGGGTTTAGGGCCAGTGTAGCTACGGAGGAGGGATTGTTCCACGTAACCTACAAAGAGGCAGGCATAGCTTGGGCCCACGCGGGTACCCATGGCCACCCTCTGTCTGTAGGAAGTGGGAGGAATTGAAAGAGAAGTTGTTGAGGGTGAGGACGAGTTCGGCTAATCGGATGAGGGTGTCAGTGGAGGGGGACTGGTCAGGCCTGCGGGACAGGAAGAAGCGGAGGGCCATTAGGCCATCTGTATGGGGAATGCAGATGTATAGGGACTGGACGTCTACGGTAAAGATGAGGTGTTGGGGACCAGGGAATTGGAAGTTCTGGAGGAGGTGGAGGGCGTGGGTGGTGTCACAGACGTAGGTAGGGAGTTCCTGGACCAAGGGGGAGAAAATGGAGTCAAGACAGGTGGAGATAAGTTCAGTGGGGCAGGAGCAGGCGGAGACAATGGGTCGACCAGGACATTCAGGTTTGTGGATTTTGGGAAGGAGATAGAAGCGGGCGGCGCGGGGTTGGGGAACAATGAGGTTGGAGGCTGTGGGTGGGAGGTCACCTGAGGGGATGAGGTTGTGGATGGTTTGGGAGATGATGGTTTGGTGGTCGGGGTGGGGTCATGATCAAGGGGGCAGTAGGAGGAGGTGTCAGAGAGTTGTCGCCTGGCCTCGGTGATGTAGATGTCAGTGCGCCGTACTACAACTGCGCCTCCCTTGTCCGCGGGTTTTATGGTGAGGTTAGGATTGGAGCGGAGGGCTGCACGTTCTGCGGGGGAGGAGGTTGGAGTGGGATAATTGGACCATTTATTCGTTGGCCAAATACTGAAGCCAAGTATAACCAGCTAACTTAACTTTGACCGCATATACAATCAGCTTGTGTCACTTATTGTTGAGCTGGAAGGTAGTTAGCCAGGACTGCTTTATGAACTGGAAGGAGTGATAGGTACACTGTAATCCCCATCCTGTTGTCACATTTGAACATGTCCCATTGTTTAAGCTCCTGATCATTATCTGCAGATGCTCCAACACATGCTTGCTGAAATTCATGAATCAGATTTTACCAATTGAGTACCTGCCATAATTGTCTTTTGCCACTCAGCCAATTTGCTAATCAGGTCAATTTTTGCTTTTGGATCAGTAGGATTCAATTTTAATCAATCGTTTCTTACAGTGGCCTTCAGGAAGTTCTCCCCAGACATTGTGTCCACTACTTTAGTCATCACTTCAGAAAGTTAATCATATTCAGCAGGAATGACTTATCCTTTACAAATCCATTCAGGGGCTCTCTGATCAGCTGAAAATTTCCAAGGCCTTCAGTTACCAAATCCTCGGTTAAAGACAGTAGTAACAAACATTAAGTTAATTGGGTGCCTCCCCTCCACCCACCTTAAATAATGAAGTAATGTGCATAATTTTTCAATTCATAGTCAAACAGCAACTGGTCTGTGCCAACCAGATATCCTAATCAGACCTAGTCCCATTTGCTAGTATTTGGCCCATATCCCTCTAAGGCCTTCCTATTCGTATACCCATCCAGATGCTTTTTAATTATTGTAATTGTACTCGTCCTCCACCACTTTCTTTGGCAGCTCGTTCCATACATGTACCACCCTCTGCAAGTAAACGTCACACCTCAGATCCTTTTCAAATCTATCTTTTCTCTCTCACCACAACCTATGCCTTCTAGTTTTGGAATTTCCCAACCTAGGAAAAAGACCTTGACTATTCACCTTATCCATGCCCCTCAATTTTTTGAAATATTGTGTACATCTCCATCTTAAAGACATGATGCTATCACAGATTCAAGTATGTCCCAAAGTTCCATAAGTGAAGTCTATGCCTGTTATCAATGTCACTTTGTCATTATTCTCTTCATCATCATTTGAGAGTCTGTTCCTGATTCAGTATCAGTTTAGGGCAGCACAGTGGCTAGCACTGCTGCCTTGCAGCACTAGTGACCTGGGTTCGATTCCACCCTCAGGTGACTGTCTGTGTGGAGTTTGCACATTCTCCCTGTGTCTGTGTGGGTTTCTTCCAGGTGCTCCGGTTTCCTCCCACATTCCAAAGATGGGCAGGCTAGGTGGATTGGCCATGCTAAATTGCCTGTAGTGTTTAGGGACGTGTAGATTACGTGGGTTATATGGGGATGGGGATGGGGATGGGGATGGGTCTGGGTGGGATGCTCTGAGGGTGGATATGGGCCCAAGGGCCTGTTTCCACACTGTAGGGATTCTATGATTATATTTGCAGTCTGCTGACCACCACATGTGGTATAAATGAATCAAAAATAATTATTCAAAATGACTACTATTTCCATGTTTTTTCATTGCTGGCATAATTGTAAACTAAGTTTTCAAGCAAGTCATTGGTCCAGACTACTTTTTCCTACTTTTTTTGTTTTCTGCGTATCTGACACATTTCTTTGCATCCTTTACAAATCTCACTGTTTTAACTTTGGCTTTTCTTTGCATCTTTTCCTATTTTCCAGGATCAGTACATTTTTGGCATTTTTTTAAAAAAGTTTTTAAGTTTATGTTCCCTCACTTTTTCCACTGAATCTGTAAAGCAAGATGAGTGTTCTACTATGAGCTATAGCAAATCTTTCTCCCCCATTTATCTTTAATAGGGAAATCTTCTCATTGTTCCTCTTTGCCATTAAAATATTCTGCACCATCCGTGATAACCTTTACCCTAGCACCACACAAGATTCAATAATTGCAAAAACACTCGTAGCAATTCCCATATCAAATTCTACATTTCGCTGTAACAAGATTGTAAAGCTTCTATAATTATGTAAAAGGGAAAAAGATAAGCAAAAACGTATGCAAGTCCATTATAAGTAGTGTCAGGACAGTTTGTGACTGGGAAAAAGGGAATGGCAGGCACCAAACCATTAGTGCTTCAGACAATGTTTCCTTTTCCCTCAAGTGAGAATTACACTTGACTCAGTCTGTTCCATTGTCGACATTTCCAGATTCTTCTCTCACCCCAAACTCTGGGGATTTCCTTGGTGTCACTTTCCACCCAAGAAGCTTTCAGTGCCACTAACTCCACTAGCAAACATTTTCCCTTTTCAGTATCCAAACGGTGATTAACTCTGATTTGAAGAGTGCGCTGAGGAGTCAATGACATCAACCTATCTACTTTCCTGAGCAAGGAAATGTAATAGCTGCCCTGCTCCCAACTGAGAGAGACAACCACTACTTGGAGATGAAACAGCAATTTACTGCCTTAAAATCTGTACTTCTTTCCTCTCCAAAGAAAACAGTCCTAGCAGATATAATAGAACTTTTCAGTATCATGAGGCAACTGGAAAAACTGTACGGGAAAAAACTGTTTCAGAGATAGTAGGAACTGCAGATGCTGGAGAATCTGAGATAACCAGGTGTAGAGCTGGATGAACACAACTGGCCAAGCAGCATCAGAGGAGCAGGAAAGCTGACGGGTCTGGACCCGAAACGTCAGCTTTCCTGCTCCTCGGCCTGCTGTGTTCATCCAGCTCTACACCTTGTTACATCAGGGAAAAACTGTTCCTGCTCTATTCAGGATCAGAGATTTTCCGCATAGCAAGTTGTTAGAGCCTGGAATGCAATGCCTGGAAGTGTGATGGAGAGGGCATAGTTTGAGGTGAGGAAAAAATGGTTTCAAGGAGATTGAAGAAATTTCAAAGGGGGTGATAGATACAAGAAACGTGCTGCCTGAGAGGATGTACTGTCACAACATTTAAGAAATATCTGGGATGAGTACTTAAAAATGCCGGGGCATAGTTGGCAATAGACAAGTGAAGGTAAATGGGACTAGTGTAGTATTGTGTTTGTTAGCGTCGACATGGTGGGCTAAAGAGCCTGTTTCCATGCTGTATGATTCTATGCTATGAAATTATCTAAACATGAATAAAAGAGAGGGTCAGAGAGAAATGAAGAAGTTGCCACCAATTCAAAATGCACAGGACACAGTGGGCCCAAAGGCTTCCTCCTGGACCAATTCTGTGGCAATGTGGTTTCTTCTACATTGAGGAGGTCAAACAGGTTAAGTAATTGCATTGTGGAACACCTCCATTCAATCTGCAAGCTTGATGCTGAGATTCTGGTCACCCACCATTTTAATTCTTGGCCTCCAATACTGTTCTAATGAAAGACAATGCAAGTTCAGGGAACAACACCTCATCTTTCAAATCAGGCATTTTACAGCCTTCATACTCTATCAATTTCAGACCGTAAATACTGCTATCCAGATAGCTGTTGATGATTTCACTATTGCCGTGTTTACCTCCTCCATTTTGTATTTCACTTGTGCCATTATCATCCCCTTTTGCCTTGCTCTTTTATCCTTTGTCAGTTAATCCCTCATCATTTAACCTGTCCTACCTTCCACCTGATTACAGATTTGCCCTTTTCTTCTTTCCACCCTCCCCTTTTCCCTATCTCAATACTAGAGACATAACACTTTGCCAGTTTGAATATGCTGCATAACCCAAATATTTTTAGCATTTCCTGCTGCTTTTATACTTGACTAAAGTTACTGCTTTTCAAATGTAAAAATTGTCTCCCATTTACAATCACATGTTAAAGTACAGGCAGGGAGTTCATTCATGGATTTCAGTACTGCAATTATTGGAGGAACAGTTACTCTACAAAAGGTTCTAGGTCCAATCCCAATCTGATTCTTCAGTCTAAAGCCAAGGGATGCTATATTGTCAGAGGTATTCTCTTTTGGCTGCTGTGTGTAAGTGAGCTCAAAACTGAAGTGGGAGTAAAAGAGAGGCTGTAACATTAGCACTCAAAGATTGGAATAGCTGAAGGAACATTACATACTTTTATTGTGGATGTATTTCATCAGTCTTTAAAATATTGGTCTGAGTTAAACCATGTACAGCCCTAACCAACAGTTATTACAGACAGATTACTATGCAAATGTCAATTGTTCCATTGACAGGAAAGCTAGGGGTTCTAATAAGAAGTTTTAAAATTCCATTTAGCCATGTTCTAGAATATCAGTTGTGAAAATTGTTTAGTGAGTGTGCAATGTTTTACAAACACACAAAACATTTTCATATTTAAATGCAGTTAACAATATCTTATACATATTTAGTCAGCTGAACTTATTTTAAGAACTGACATGTGAAGACTAAACACTACTCCCTTGACATCTAATCTCTTTTACAGTGTATCTTGTGAATTTATTACATTTTCAGCGAAATCAATCAGAAACAAGGAATTTCATAGAGTACTTTAATTGTGTATTGAAAAATAAATTACAGGAAATAACTTTAAAATGCAACAGAAGACAACTGAATTTCACAAATAACATTCCCATTGCTTTGCCATAAGGGGTGGGACTGCAGTGCTCAAGGCAGGTAATATCACAAATATATCAAAACCTCAAATTTGGTGCACTTATGTTTACATCAATCACAAATAACATTCCTTTACATAAACTGCACAGAGCCTACCACTGTACCAGATTTTGCCATTAACTACAAAAACTTTGATACAAAATTTGGTATTTATATATTTATATTTAATATACATGCCCCACCTCTATGATTTGATAGAAAATTAAATTTTAAAAAATGCACTGTACAGACAATGCTAACTGGTAGCTACAGGAAACAGTTCTTTTTGGATGGCTTACCCCCCTCCCCCACAAAAAAAATGAAAAAGGCATACTGGATGGACTAAAGTGGCAGTAGTGAAACGGTTAAACTTCCCAGCAGTTCGACTGTCACTGTTCATACAACTGTTCTAGGGCTGCTTTCAGGAAAAAGGCGAGGTAAGCTTCAATTACCCCCATCTAATAGTAATCTTGTCCTCAAAATAATCCAGTGGCTTGTGTAGTTTGGATTCATGCAATGTGTAATACTGGTAATACAAGCAAAAGCATTAACAAAAAAATGAATTGGCTCATTTCAAGCTCAACTATGCTTGGCTACCTCAATGATCCCATTGATTTATCTGTACAGTATACTACAGTGCAAACCAGCCTTTCACAAGACCCAAAGAGGAAATTTGACTAGTGTTCTTATGTCAACATTCAAATTACAAATGTCACAACTCCTGTTTGATCTTGTTTAGCAATGCAACTACCTATCCACTGAAAAAACCATCTCCATGAACATTTCCTTCTTCGTTCTTCAGACCTTTTTGGCAGTGTCCAGTGAAGTTGGGCCTTTCACTTCAAAATCTACGCAGACTAATTTTAAATTGATTCAAAGTCTGTAACCTATAGCAAGCACTTGACACCAATAGAACCAGACAAGGGATTGTCAGTTCGTCTTTAATTTGGTATGTTGGGAGCCCTGTTCAGTCAAACCTGCTTTGATGGAGTTTGCTACAGTCTGTCTTATGTTGTCCTCCATCAAATTGTCACTCAGTGGCTTCAACACCTGTAATATGGGAATGTTAAAAGAAAGAAAGGGAGACTTAAAATGGGGTAACCAAAGACACACTATCAACAGAAGAAAAACAGTAATACTATATCTGTTAAATATTCTCCCATTAAATAGTTGCAAAATAGCTACAAGAATGTTGGATAGAAAGGAATGATGAGGAAAGATGGAATGTGAAACTAAATTCAACCCTGTGCATTAAAAGAGAAAAGAATTGTTAAGTGGAAAAATTGCTGGACCACAGCAGCCTGCATTATTCTGGTATATAATACAAGGGGTAATACATGGTTTTATATATTAAACCAAAAACACAAAATTAAATGGTCTGAAATGATGACACATTTACCACAATTCTTCTTCACGTGGGTCTGCCTGTCCTCTTAACAGTCACTTAAGAAATGAGCAGTTCTGCACTTTACGTTATTGAATTTGCTGTGAACATTTATAACTTGTTACACAACAAGACCCTGACAAGTGAGTAAATGTCCACATTCCCACACCCTCCAAAAGGACATGATTAAAGCACAACAGCTAGTTTTTCTTCTTGTTGTTGTTTGATGAAAGTCTCAGTGTTGATGTAATAGAACGATGTACCACTCTACTTCGAGCTGAAGTGAACAGCTTGCATAATACCTAAAACAAGGAGTTGTTAATTAGTGATCTCCAAAGCACTCAATTTGCCAAATTAGTTATCAACTGGGAAGACCGCAATATGTCAATAAAAAAGATTCTGTTTGTGATATTAAATCAAAAACAAGGTTTTCACCTTCTTTGGACTCCTCTGGATTGCATAAAAGAGGAAAAGGAAGAAAATAAGAGTCAATGCATGTAGTAATCAGTGCCGACAGGGCATGACTAGGGATCAAAAGATTACTTCAGAAGGAATACAAAATAACAACCATCAGAACAGATAATGCAGCAACAGCAGATACTGTGAGCTTTCCTCCAAGATGGATTATTATTAAATCGTTTACATTGGGACATTTGATAAGTACAGGCTCAATTATCACCGAGTTCCAAAGCTCTTTCCCAGGTTTGGTGCATGTGCCTCAACTGTCAAAAACAAACTACTTATGAATCCTTGTCTCATTTCCCCATTGCATATTTCAGTTGGATAATCATTTATTTGGTTTAAAGTCATCATCTCATCTTCACTCACAATATTGAGCAAATCAAAATGTACAAAAAGGAAAAATTAAAATTGGTTTGAAAAACTGAATTAGGACCTCATGGCTTGTCGAGTATGTCTCCCAAAATCAGCTCAGTGTTATCCTGTAATTTGCTCAATCCTGGTGTGTTCTGCTCACAAGTCACTAATTGCACTTTGAAACCAACTACAAGCAAACCCAGAGCAACATGCTGTGGGAAAAATACCAATTTGCCATACGCAGTTCATGGCAGCAATAGGGAACTTGCACCTCAAAGATCACAGACAAACAGCAAAGCTGAACCGTAGCACAGGATGTCAACGTTCCACATGTAGATGACCAATGTCCTTTCACCTTTAAAAATCCAGTCATTTGTCTCCCTCAGCTTTCTTATTCAGCCTCATATCCTTCAGTCTTGTGTTTACTCATCTATGCTGTGGAGTCTGTAACTACAACTAAACTAAACGCTGTGCAATTTACCTTACATTGATTTGGATTGTTCAAAGCATCGATATTTCATTTGAGACTCTCAACAAGCAGAACAAAAAGGAAAATAAATTTGTGAAGCATGTGTTTGAAAAAAAAATCAGCTATATTTAAAACAAATGTATGTCAAATCGTCCCATCACAAAGAAATAGCATGACGCAGAGTTATTTTAATCAATGCAAATGTTGCATTAAACATTCTATTTTAGTACTGGAATGACGTACACAACTAAATCTTTAAACTAATTTAGTAAAGGATAATTTCCAGATACAGAAATTCCATTAAGCTGGTGTGGTTCGCTGAATGGAAAAAAAAACATGAGCCACTAAACTCAAGTACTTTAGGATGGATAATTAGTTTTCTAATTTGTTTATCTGGATCACTCTCTAGCTGTACGCAGTACAGGTGGAGAAGAATATAACACCCTTGACTCAGTTAGTTACAATGGTCACCAAAAGTGGTGAGTTTCAGAGATTTAAACCCACAATCTGGGTTGGCACTCCAGTGCACTTTCCGATCATTTTTCCAATCTTCCAGGTGAAGTGTTAAACCAAAGCTTTTCCTTCCTTGTTGATGGACATAAACAATTTCCATAACATGTCAGGATGGTCATGGGAAAATAGGACAGCACTGTTCAGGCAGGGAACTTCAAAAGGAAGTAAGTTGCAGATACTACGGGCCTGAAATGCTGCAACTATTATTTCATTAAGTGGTGCAGCAATAGAAGGTGAGATGATCAAAATCGGAGTGAAGAAAAGCCTTTATTCCAGGTTTGTCTATTAAATCTGTAGATGACTCTTACAGTGGCATTGTCCTTGCCTGAGCCAGAAGGTACAGGTTCAACTCCCAGCTGCCCTGGAGGTGTGTAATAACATATCCAAATAGAGTGGCTCGAAATAGTTATCTAATAGATCTGGCAAATGCAATTCAAAAGATTTTTTTTTAAATTGCCATCTAATTTTGTTAGACAGACATTTAGGAAAGAAGCAGAGGAGTGATGGGAAGGAGATTGCCAACAGGTGTTAAATATGGTTCGAGAATTAACATATGCTTGTTAATCAGCAACAGTAGCGCATAGTTATGAACATGTACCCAAATAATTTAAAGCAATGCCTTTAGAAAGTACCACTTAAACTGTTCACTAGCTAAGATTGTAATCAACATTAAAAGTCATACAATAATCAAAAATGATCAACATTATTTAAACTAGGGACTGTTCTCTACATTAAACTATACACCAACATAGTGGCAATAAAGGGAGGGAGGGCTGTGGAGGAAGTGTACTCACCTGTTCCCATATAGTTTCAGCCACTTGATCAATGATTGTTCCAAATTCTCTGAATTCACCAGAATACTTTGTGTAAGCCCAGGTGCAGAGGGATATTAGAGCTATTCCCATCACAAGATTGCATAAAGAAGCTATCGAGTTCAAGCCAATAAATCCAGTCACTCCTGAGATTATGTACATGGTAAACATCACAGCAAAAAGTGTGGCGGGTGTGCGGGCAGCATAAAAAATATTTTTGCTGTCATTGTGCTTTACAAAGTTTGCGTAGTTCTCATCCATTTCTTGTTCAAGCTGTTCTTGATAGCGCTGACAGAATTCTTCCCCACCCATTTTCTTGACAGATCGAAACTGCTTGATAGAAGCCACTTTCAAGTTCAGGTGTTGCTGCTCCAGATCTGCTGGCGCTATGTAAGGCTTATCTCCCCCACAGAACTGCAAGGACAAACATATTTACAATGCTTGAATATAATGTTATTTTCTAGGCACATTATGATGTTTAGAATCTACAGGTGCAACACAAGTGACATTTTCTCCACACTACTTAAGCCAAAGTTCTCTTCGCCAAAGTGCAAGGAATGTATTGCATAAAATTCAAAACTAGTTCTGCTTTTAAACCAGTAGATTTACTGACCTCCAGTGCTAATGGGTACAATGAGTCTATTTTGGGGTAGGACATATATAAAATAACAAGCAATAACAATCTGTGCATTAACTGCTGAGTTCAAAGAGAAAGTGTCAAACACGTGTCAGGAGTTCATTCATTGTTCATGTCCTTATTTGGACATACTCAGATCCATTTTAATTTCTTGCTTTAACAGGCAGAATGAAAATTTACAGTCAGTCAAGAATTATCTACCTATAGCCCCATTTTCTTCCACAATCACTGGCACCATCCCACTCCAGTGTTATCTTATCCACAAAAGATTGAAATACTATAAAGTTATTTAACACTTTTAAAATCTTTAAATTTAATTGGAAAGGGCTTCAGATTCTGTACACTTCAATTAGGAATAGCACGCTAGTTGATCTATCCACACTTATTTCAATGAGTAACACTGTGATGAAAGGTTTATAATTGTGTTATATTTTGGGATTTGTATTTCAAAATTGATATTGTATTTCAAAATATGATGTCAGAGAGTTCTTCAGTGGTAATGTTTTACAAAAAAAAAGGTCAGGATGTAATTTTGTAAGTGGCATCTCCAAGAAAGCATATGATTGCCATTGACTGCCTGGAAGAATTCCTACTCATAGAAGGAGAAGCAAGTCACATCCAGTCACCTCAGCAGAAGCGACATCTAGTTTGTGAAATTTCTCAGCCAGGACAGCTTGTACAGAAAAGTTTTCAATTTGGTAGCCTAAACTTTCTCAGTTCTACCAGAATTGAGTGGGCCTTGTCACATCAGACTTGGAAAGAAATTAAAACAAAAGGTCCCAGCAACCCAAGGGAAGTCTGGAAATTTAGTCTTTTAAGATTCAAAAAGCTGGGCTAAGAGTGACATTTCTCTGGAATTCAGCATTTGTAACATTATTGGGGAACAGGTTGAAACTTTATTTGGAGGTTTGCGGTAAGATCTTTCCTACTGATATGTATAAATAGCTTTATTTATTTTTTATTATAATAAAATTCATTCAGCAGCCTCTTTTGATTAAGATAACATAACTAATCACCATAGAAACCAACTGAAAAAAATTAAACACATCAAGCCAACTTTCATTCCAGAACCTGACTTATCCGGATTTACCATCAACTTAGATCATATTAATGAACATCATCTCTCTTGTTCACTGCCAGTGCCTTCAGTCAAAATACTTAAGAGTATTTATTGGTACCACTAGAAATTAGGTCTTTTGGTATGGCAATGATTCACATTCATACTTAACTCATTGGCATTATAAAGTACCAGGAAAGAGTCTTGCTAACCACAGGAAGCTCAATGAGATCAGGGAAGTTTTGTAGCCCAACACTGTATATCAGCACTTAGCACATATTCCTTAACATCTTTGTCTACCAGATATCAATCTCAAGTTTAAAGCTGACAAAGTATCACCTGCCATTTGTGGAAGAGTTCCAAACACCTACCACTCTTTACACATTTTCTAATTTCACTCCTGAAAGGCCTTCAGTGTTTATAGTTTTTCACCATTTTGAAAGTACACTTTCTTTGTGTCCTAAGTGAAACCTCAGGTTTGCCTACATTAAAATCAATTGCCACAGCATTATCCAGTTCATGTATAAAAACAACTTTGTAATTTTAGATTCTATTTATACTGCTTACAGTGCCACCTATTTTATGCCTGAGTGAACTTGGATATATGCATCTCCAACCAGCCATTCAATTCACTAATAAAGACCTTAAATAGCTGATACCCAGTAAGTCCCTGTGGCACACTAATCACAATCAGACCAATTTGAGTATCTGATCATGTATCACTACTCCGTCCCCAGCCAATTTCCTAACCCTGTCTATAATTTGTCACAATTTCATGAGCATCAACGTTAACTGACAGCCTCAAGAATTTTATACAGACTTCTAGAAGGCATCTTATAAGACTAAGACATTCTCCTGTGCACTATTTAAGTCACTTCAAAATATGTCAGATAACAACCAATGCTGGCGATCACAGCGGGTCAGACAGCATGTTAACATTTTAAGTCTAGATGACTGCTCATCAGAGCTGAAGTGAAGTGTGGAGGGGGCAGCATTTATGCTGGGGGGGTTATAGAGTGCTGGGGTAGAAAAGATTTTGATAGTTCAGATTAATTGATCGGAATGTGAGAACGACAGAACTATGATGTGTCTAACTGCCAGACTTATGATGTTGATAGTTCAGATTCTTTTAAATCTGGCAGTTAGACAGATCATTGTTCTGCCATTCTCAAATTCCGATCACTTAATCTGAACCATCAACATCTTTTCTCAGAGATAGTAGGAACTGCAGATGCTGGAAAATCTGAGATAACAAGGTGTAGAGCTGGATGAACACAGCAGGCCAAGCAGCATCAGAGGAGCAGGAAGGCTGACGTTCCGGGCC